TGACAACGTCGTAGAAAAAGTGTCGTCATGTTCATGGCGATATAGCGGCCAAATAACCTTCGGAGTACACTCGACAATATACCGAAGTCAACTTTTAATTAAAGTGTCGTCAATGTTTCCATACTTGTTGACAAAAAGTGTTAACATGACCACCAACGTCCCCACGTTTCCTTCAGGGTATATACACAGATGTATGTGTTGTGAAGAACACATCCATATATAGTAAAAAGTGGCAAAAAAATAAATCTTTGTTTCATACAAGTGTTATTGAGACAGAAAAGTGATCAATCATTCAAACTTCCTAATGTGTACTAAACTATTGAAGACACGAGTGGAATATTTGCATAGTTTGGTGTTGATATTAATACCGGTAAAAAGCGGTTATTTAGAGACACAGATGGTTCTACATGCCTCTTTTGGGATATTTAAATTTTTTTGTTAAATTATTTGATTCGTGGAAAATTATCAATTTAATAATAACATCATAATACATTTACGTTCAGGATATTCAAAAAATAACCTGAAGTAACCTTGAAAAAAATCTCTGTAAAAATTTTAAATACATTCAAGAGACGAAAAAAGTTGTTCTCCATATCCAAGAAAGTAATCCACGTTGAGATCAATCTAAACATTTATATATTAAATTTAATGGATATTTCTGTTACTAGATGAACATTCTATGCGTACCATGTTTAACTTACATTCTCTAGACCTTTCCATAATCTTCACAACATATGTACGTGATAAGGGTGTCAAGAAACACATCAAATTTACTTGTAATATAAATAATTGATTTATTATTCATTCACAACTTCTGTTACAGTCTCTTGTAAGTCATAAATCTTTTTTTATGTGATATACGGATGATATATACCATTTTATAAAGTTTTGAAATCCAAATTGTGTATATTTGGCACGTGCTATTTGTTGATAAAAAATAAATGCTGTTGACATAAGATATAAAAAAACGATGTTTGTGTCTTGTCATATTTTTTTTTTGTCTGTATTTATTTTAGTAGATATGAAATAGTACATGTAGCTTGTAAAAGTCAGATATCACTTTATATTCGAAATAAAAGTATATATATGTATATATTTTTTTGGAAGCACCAAACCCACATATATCGTTTAGATAATGAATGATAAGTGACACATCAGTCACCTGGATGTCAGAGAAAAAAATGCCAAGTCATTTTTCCACTTTGATTTCACATATCAATCAAATCACCTAATCAAAAACAATGTCAATATCTATTGGAAAAAATATTTCGGGAGGATTATAAAAGGCAAAATCAGTAATATACGTCTAAACAAATGGTATTTACTTTCTTTAAAAAAAGGATTAAAAAATTCTAGTTTAATTTATATATTTTTTATTTTGGGAGTTAATTTGATGTATGTCCATGACACTATGATACACTATGGAAAGTAAAAAAGATTCCTTGCCTCCTTTTTCCTATTTTGTATTCTTATGATTAGTTTCTTTTTCCAATAAAAACATTGACTTAAATTCTACATTTTTATATAATACTAGTTGTTATCAATTCCCACGGCTTATCTAAATTTATTCCTAAAACACAAGAAAATGAAGAAGAAAATATCCTTCATAGGTTTATTGCTCATCACAATATACCCTGATGTCTGTCAATGTCATAGCACTCTCATACGGCATTTCTTTATTTTTCTCTATTCCCTCTAAAAACAAATTCTATTTCAACAAATAAAATATAATAATTTCATTTATTTAGTATTTATTATATTTGTTATCCATTCCCACGGTATATCATAATTAATTCTCACAACATAAGAAGAAGAACACATCATTCATGTTCATTACTCATCTCAATAGACAGCAATCAGTGTGGCTGTCAATAAATACCACTCTCTCTCCCTCCTCTCAGGCTCATTGATGTTATTGTTTACCAGTTGCTGGCTGGCTGGCGGGATTTTTGCTTTCATATAATTTTCAACTAAATAACTACTACTGTGTTTATGCAAAAATAAAACAACAACAAAAACAAGTAGACCTAAAGTAAACAAAAACAAATTTAATTACTTAAATGATTACAACGTATTATGCGGCATAAAATCACTTTTTGTTGTATTTGTATCTGCTTTCTTTCCTTTTTTGCCATTTCATGCACCCGGCATCAACTTGTCTCCAGCAAATTAAAACAGCAACAACAACAACTTGAAAATATAAAACAAATACAATAATACTCGTTGCTGAACACAAACAAAAAAAAAAAGAAAACAAAAACACAACAAATCTAGAATATTTGAATAAACAACTCGTGATCGTCAGTCACAATGTCGTTTGCACCAACCGACGAACGACCGTATAAAACAGCACCAATACAAATACAAACACAATAAAAGCGTATGGCTGGCGTATAATACAAGCAATCGCTAATCATTATAATCTGTAGAAAGAAAACCGTCTCGTTGTCGGTTAACTTTACATTGAGTTAAGAACAAAAAAACAAAAGAAAAGAAGACAAATGACAATTAAAATAGTATAACTCTTTTGATTATTAATTGTTTCTTCGAGGTGTAACGGTAAAATTAGTAACAGTAACTATACAAAAAAATTAACAAGCCTGTAGAATTATTAAAATTGTTACAGTTCTCATACCGCCACCTACCACAATTGCTACAAGGGATGTAGTCGAACGAGCGTAGAGGTTGTGCATAGAATTGTTGCGGTTTTTGCTGTGTATGTGTGTGTGTTTTTTTTTTCTTTTCACTCTTGATAGGCAATTTGATATCTGGACATCATGTGAGTAGACCATAAATCGTGTTCCACTATATATAATAATAATAAATGCCGTTATATTGTTCAGTAGGTTGTTGTCGGCGTCGTCATCGTTACTTGTGTGTGTGTGGTCAATTTTCTAAGAATACGGTGTGGGGTGACAAGAAGAGGTGTTGTTGCTAACTACACTAACGACATTATTTGTTTGTTATTGGGAGAGGGTAGTAATGCGCACTCCTCGGTGGTCATAGTTGTTTGGAGCTCTAATGTGAGAATTTTTGGGGAGGGGGTCAGATTAATACGAAAGAAAAAAGGTATACTTTTGTTAAGTGGTGTTGGTGACCCAGCTCTTCGTAACGAACAAACAAACATACACATATTCTAATATATTATGCAGCCCAGGGATGGGAGTTTGTAATTTGTTCTTTCTTTATATAAAAAATTTATGTTTAACGGGTACTTTTTATTAAAAATATATTATTAAAGGGTACTTTTTATTAAAAATATATTTTGAAAGTGTACTATTTATTAAAAATGTATTCTGAAAGGGTACTTTTTATTAAGAAATATATATTTTAAAGGTACTTTTTATTACAAATATGTTTTTAAAGGGCACTTTTTATTAAAAAAGTATTTTTAAAGGTTACTTTTTATTAAAAACGATATTTTTAAAGGGTACTTATTATAAAAACGATATTTTTAAAGGGTACTTACCAAAAAATTACTTTTTTTTTAAATGGTTAACAAAGTGATGTGAATGAAGAACAAATAACCAGAGGAATTCTGTAGAGGTTCTTCTTTTTCGGACGTTTTTTCCTACACGATCGCAGAAAACTTCTCTATATTGTAAAGATTCCCTTGAAATTATTCTATTATCAGAAGTCCTGAACAAGATCTTCTGTCTGTAGAAGATCTGAGAATCTTGTACTGCATTTCAAGAAAATATAGAGAAGGGGTTCTTTCGATCAATGGTCTCTGAAAGATCTTCATCAGACTTGAAGATGTTTTTTTTTGTTATTATTGAATTATTTTCAATGTAAAATTCCCAACCCTGAACAACTATTTTATTGTTCATTAGGTGTTTGGTGCTGCCGCTGCTGCTACCGTTACTGCCGAACATTTTTTTCGTCGCCGTCGTCTTCGCATCACACATAATTGTTGCCGCCTAGATAATAGGGGTAAATGTTTCTTCTATCCCCTACTGGCCGCCGCGATTGCAGCAGACACATTCGATCGGTGCTGCTGCTGAGCCCCAACCATCCAACCAACAGACACAACACCAGTCATCATTCAACCCGCGTTTGAAAACCATGCAAGCGATAAATGATCGGAATTCGGAAACTCGGACAGACGCTTATACACGAATTGCTATATTGCTATACGAATTAATCGGAAAATCATAATTGTTAAACAAATCAATTGTTTGGTTGGCGATCAATAGATATAGAATTGTGTGTTGCTCGGTTCATGTGAGTGCGTGCACGGTGTTAACACAAAAATATAAAAGAAACCACTGCAGCGGCGGCAGCAGTAATTAAGTTTTAACTCATTATCAATCCCGACACACAAAACGTAATAAAACCAAAATGAAAGTGGCGCCTTGAACTTCAAAAATAATAATTTTGAATTATTATCGCACATTGACGAGAAAAAAGTAACAATGTTGCGATTTATTTCTCTGTTTGTGACTTCTTTCCCCTAAAAAATTATGTTATGAGTACAAAGTCAACAACATCAACGCTATAAAAAGTGCGAGAAAAGAAATTCAATTAAAATTTAAAAATATCTTGCCTACATAATAATTGATAACAAAAAAAAAATAAAAATTCTTATTACTACCATTCCCATAAAAAATCTAAATGTTGTGTACCCCGGAAAATATTTATAAATATTTTCGTAATTGTGGATACAAGAAAAATCTTATCAGTAGTTATTGAATTTTTGGATAAAATACAAACGAAAGAAGGGATAGCAAGAATAGATACCACCCACCCACCTATATTCCGGTACAATCAACAACACCGAAACCAAATTTATTATCGATGACACAAAATCAACAAATAGTACATTTTAATTAATATTAGTAAAGTGGTGTGTTCTGTTTTTCCTGTTGCTCTGCACAGTACCATTATCATCACTCGGCAGCAAGTTGTAAAAGTTAAAAGCGCGGCAAACTACACGAATTCAAATCGAAGTTATCATTTGGATATAAAGCACACCCACAACGTTTCGGAATTATTATTAAAAGACGCATGAAGGCGCCATTATATTTACCAATCAAGTGAGTGTTTTTCTATCTCATCTTTTTGCTATTTTGTTTTTCTTGTAATGTTTGAAAAATATTGCAGTATTGATATTTTCTTATACAAAAAATTTAAAAAATAACAGGAATCGTACACAATTTTTGTTTAAAAAATATATCATCGTTCAGCTTTAATGATACAAAGGGTATGTCTCATTTGATGAGAGTTTTAAACAAGAGATGTATGTTACTGACATTTCTCCAATTCTCTTTAAATTTCTTGGGGAAGAGATGACATCTAAAAATGACAGTTTGCTTGTGTACAGTTGTAATTACAATTCTTCGTTAGTAGAAAGATGAGTTGTCATTCTCCTTGCTTCTCTCATTAACAATTTTAATTGTTAAATGTCATATTGTAAGTCATACTCGAAAGCCATAGATGGGCAACCATGCACACCAGCGTTGATGCGTTCTTTTTACCGTTTTTGTTGTTCAAACAAAAATAAACATTAACGTTCTTATTATAAAAACAAATATTTTAAAGGGTACTTTTTATTACAAATATATTTTTAAAGGGTACCTTTTATTACAAACATATTTTTAAAGTGTCCTTTGAAATGTGTTCTTAATAAACGTATAAAGGGTGATTTTTATCACAAAAGTGTTTTTTAACGGTACTTTTTATTAAAAACATATTTTAAATGGTACTTTTTATTAAAAATATATTTTAAAATGGGTACATTTTATAAAAAATATAAGAAAAGTTGTTTCCAATTTGTTTATGAAGTTGTTTTTTACACTTTTTTGAATATTATTATTGTTTAAAAAAACTTAAACTAATTAAATTCTGAAGAATAATCCTGGTTTTATATTCCCTTAACAATTTTTTAATTGACAAACCCCCGCATGCCTGCTCTCTCACATGCATTCAATTAAAACAACTGAAACCCCCCTGTTAATTGCGTTTTTAACAAAATTTCTGTCTACCAAAATTATTCTAACATAAAATTATTTCTAATAAAAGAACAAAAGAGGAATCATAACCATGCTCAGTTGGCTGTTAATGTAACAAATGCTTCTTCTTATTATTACATTTCCTTCAGGGACCATTGACACATACACACATCGACGAATGTGTGAGAAACATTTTTTTTAACTCTCTGCCCGTGCTTGCTCTAAAAACAAATATGACAGATGATTATTAAAAGGAAATGGAGGAGTGATGACATTATCACATGAGTCAGAGATGGAAAATGTCATTGTGTTCTTCCTAAAATAGCTGCCTAATTAATAAAAAATAAGAAATTATCTTGTACAAATTAAATAAAAAATAAAGAAGAGGATATACAAAATAAAGATTTAATAATGATAATATACAATTTAATTATTTTTACGTATGTTAGAAAGATTATTGTTTACTATGTAAATATCTAAGACGTTAACTAAAAACGACGGCGTTTAAAATTGTAAGGCGTCGGTGGACAATAGCGTATTATATCTACATAAAGGCAGCAGTTATCAACAATATTTAAAAACTATAATTTTTTTGTTTGCAAAAGACAAAAATTGTAGTGTAAGTTTTTTTTTAATAGGTAAAAAAGAGAATAGACAATTTAATTATTTTTAATTATATTAGGTATTATTTTTGTCTCAAGTTTGGTATTAAAATTAATTGTTGTGAATTGACTTTCATAATGAAAACATAAACAAAGTCCAAATTTTTGACATTAGTCTTGAGAAAAAACAGCTGAATTTCGCTTAATAGATCTTAAATAAATTTGAGAAATTAACGATAGACATTTTATAGTACATTAATTTGTATATAGCGGTTAAGTCATATTAATAAGTTCATTCATGAAGATCAACTTTCTCTCAAGACTGATATCGTTGTATTTTCTTAATTAAATTTTGTAAATTTTTTATTAGATGGGTATCCTTGCTTTTTGACATTTTCTAGTTTATTAATTAAATATCAAAGACTGTAACTAAAATCGGCAGCGTTTAAAATTTTAAGGCGTCTGTAACCGATGGCTTTTATCCGCATAAAGTCAATATTTATCAACATCATTAAAAATTATTTTTTGTTGCAAAAATTTATAATACAAAAAATGCGGCATATTTTGGTCAATAAATAAAAAAAGAGCGAATAAATAATTTAATTAATTTTGGGTGGGAATCCTTCCTTGGATACAAAACGTACCTCAACATCTCTACAAATAGGCTTCTAGTCAGAAAGTGTTGTTTTACAAACTATGACAATAGCAAAAGAAAATAAAAATGATTCATTCTGGCCAACTTAAATTGTGTTTACAAAGAAAATAATATTTCATATTAATTCTCATTGTATTAAGAATAATTGATGATGGCGCATTATATGGCGGGCGGGCGGTCAACATCAAACTCCCTCGCCTTTATATTTAAAACAAAACATACCGATCGACCCCTAAAAAACTTAAAAGCTTAAATATAATATCCTACACAACAATGTATAGGCACTTAAAAATGTGTTATCATATTAGTATGGAATTTAACAAAAATGCTGACAAAATAAATAGTTTACTAGGCTTAATTATCTAAACCGCAACAAATTTCCCACCATACCCACCAAAAAACAACATTTCACAACCAAGCTAATATTATAATACAAACTGTCATTATTTTTTAAGCACACACGCATGCATTTTGCTTTAAACATTTTGGTTTTTATCACAAAAATATGTTTTTGGGAAATTAAGCGCAAGCGATTTCGTTTATTGATCTGGTTTGGCGCCACCATAAATTTTATCGGCTGCGTTGTGTCTCAAATTAAAAATATGAATGTTACAATCTAAAAGGTTGGGTTGGATTTGAAAATTTAGTCATATCAGGAACTTAGTCACTGCATTATGCTAATAATACCGCCATCTCACAAAGGTATCATAGGTGGAATTATTTATTCATGTGATTGTGAAAATGGTGTCATACAATTTTTTCCAGTATTTTCTAAAAAAAAAAACATATTTCTATATATAAAGCCGAATTTCCCGACAAGGGAAATTAATCGATATGACGATTTCTACGGTATATTTTTATAATTTTTATTTTTCTATAATTCCAACTTGTAGTATCCATACCAGATCGATCAATCAGTCAAAATAATAGAATATTTATTGTCCATATATTTGATGTAAAATATATAAGTAGTTATTATTAGGTAATCAAAAAATGGACAATCTCACTTGACCTGTTCATTTAATTCTATTAAAATGTTGAGGCAACATTACAAATCACAATAAAAGTTTTCTTTTTTATTTCTAGTTGACTCGTTAGTAATATGAATTTTCCATCTCTGATCAAGATCCATTAATAAGTTCATCTAGCAAAGTCAAACATCTGAATTGACACAAGTCTAATGTCGAAAATTTTGAACTTTGTTTACGTTTTCATAATGGAAGTCAATTCAAAATAATGGATTTTGACAACAAACTTGAGAGGCAGCCGATATCTAGCTATAGCCGCCGATATCTAGCCTATAAATATGTTCATCCAGGGAGACACCTTATTTATAGGCTTAGAGAATGGGAATGAAACAGTTTTGAGCAGCTGATTCTCAAGTTTGTTGCCAACATACATTATTGTGAATTAAATTTATACTAAAAGGCAATGAAACAATTCTTTTTCGAATATTCATAATGTAAACGTTGTTTAATATCTCTCGTAGGATCCAAAACGTATAATTTATTTAAATTGTATTAATGTTTGTATTAAGTATACGACAGGAATGTCTTTCTCAAGACCTATAGATATGGTCACCTAGGGAGAACAGCTGAATATCAGGAGCCACTGAATTTACTTACATTCAGAAAGTTCAAATTGTTGACATTTGACTTGAGAAAAAACAGCTGTTTTCCGACTTCGATTGTTACCTAGGTGACCTTGTAAATACATCTTGGTCTTTCTCACCATAAATTTTTATTCAGTCACAATCACATTGGCAGTGATGACATGGCATGATTGTCATGTTACAAATTATATAAAATAAAGAAATAAAATCATTCACATTCATTCACAATAGTGTCATCCAGAAAGATCAGCTGTTTTTTAACATAGCCGCCAAAATCCATTATTGTGAGTAGACTTTTTGAGAACGTAAATTACGTCGAAAATGTTTACATTTACATTTTTCTCATTAGCCATGAGAAAAACCAGATTACTTTTGCTTGTTGTGTAAACTTATTAATAGATCTTGATTAAATTTGAGAAATGAACGATAGGCCTTTTATATTACGTTAATTTTTATATAGCAGTTATGGCATATTAATAAGTTCATCCAGGAAGACCAACTTTTACTCAAGATTGCTATCGTTATTTTTTCTTAATTAAATTAAAAAAAATCTTAATAATAACATTTTTTTTTTATTTTTTGTTCTCATTCATCATCAATAACACATACAAAATATATTTGTTAACAATCACGTGCCTTTTTTAATTTAGTAATTAATATATAATTCATCTTGGCAAATATTTAAAATACACATCTCATCATCTACACTATTACATTAGTTTAATAATTCTTAAATCAAATTGTTATTTATGTTCTCTCTTCCTCCTCTCTGTTGACTACTAGTGATTCATTCACAATAACATTGGCTTAGATCACGTGCTTTTTGTGCAAAGTTTTTATTTATTTATTTAATTTTATTCCACAAAAAAAAAACTTTGTAAATGTTTATATGGAGAAATAATTGTACACACACGCACACACACACTCTCTCACCTATATATCTATAAATACATATTGATAATTTAAGATCTATGGATTTTTGCTTAGTTTTTCTTTTCACTTCTACCGATTCTAGACTTTCTTCATCACTGTTCTATGACTGTGTATGTGTGTATATGCCTGTTTCATTTTGTTGTTGTTGTTGTCTGCTTTCATAATGAAATCTTTGTGTTCAATTGTGTTAATTTGTTTCGCAAATGAATTCATGCTGATCTTTTAATTAGCACTCATCACACTCTCTACGCTCTCTCGCCCTCTCTCTTCGTAATGATCATTCATTCTTCTTTCTTAATACATACATTTGTTGACGTTAGAAGTGGAAGATTCGTGTTACTTATGTGGATTAAGACAACAGTGAATGCCATCTTTGTTATTTCATCAAAAGTTGGGTCCTTAAAATTCATTCAACTGCCTCTCAAGTTTGCTGTCAAAATCCATTATTGTGAATTGACTTCCATTATGAAAACGTAAACAAAGTCCAACATTTTGACATTAGACGTGGAAAAACAGCTGATTTTCACTAGCTGGGTGACCTTGAGAAGTAGCTGATATCCAGCTGGTCTCCCTAGTTGACATTATATTAATACGCCGTTTAAGGATGTTAGAATGTCACAATTTTTGTTTACGTTTTCATACGACTAATGAAAATAGAAAAAATATGAAGCATTTCGAGAGTACGGGGTTATGGTCTTACTGTTCGACTTTTTAAAAAGACAATGAATGGATTATTTATTCTGTTTTGAATTGACAACAAAATGTCTGATTATTACAAAAATATTAATTAATATCATTCAAGGCCCGGAGGGTCAATCTGAAAGATTTATTAATAAGGTCAGCCAACAAGTGAAAGTCAGCAGCTCTCAAGTCTAATGATTTTGTTTACGTTTTCACAATGTAATTTGACAGCAAACTTTAGAATAAGCTAGTCTCCCTGGATGACCTTATTAATAGGCCTTGATAGTCAAATAGTCAAAATAAGTTATTGTGAATGGACTTCACATTATAAAGAAGCAAGATCTATTAGTAATGTCACCCAGCAAGCGAAAGTCAGCTGTTTTTTCTCAAGTCTAATGTTAAAAAATTTGGGCTTTGTCATGGTCTATTAAAAATATCATCCAGGGAGACCAGATGGATATCAACTGCCTCTTAAGTTTGCTGTTTGTGAATTGACTTCCATAATAAAAACGTAAACAAAGTCCAAATGTTTGATATTAGACTTGAGAATTAACAGCTGAGTGATCTGATTAATAGATCTGAGACTTTGTTTACATTTTAATAATGTAAGTCAATTGACAATAATACATGTTGACATCCAACTTGAATATGTCCACAATTTTTGACATTAAATTTGGGAGAAAAGCAACTGTTTTTCGTCGCCTGGGTTATTGACTGTCCTTGATTTCCCTCTCTCTATCCGTGGTTCTTTTGAATGACACTTAAGTTGTTGTCTGTTTTCTACACAACACAGTTATAATTGCAAATACCAAATACTGTAGAAATGTACGTGTTTGGTGTCCGTGACCGAGAAATTGTTTTTTTTTTTTTTATTTTTGCGAAAATCTAACTGCATGATATGTGTGTGAGTGTGTGAATGAATGAGTGAGTGAAAGCACAACAGTATATCAATGACATTGGGTGAGAGCGAGCGAGCGAGCGAGAACATCTATATTTAGAAAGCACGTGAGTAGTATTACTCACGTCAAGCAACAACGACGACAGCGAAGCCGCCAATGATACCCACAAACAAGTCAAGTATCGACGTAAGAAACAAAATATTGGTTAAAGAAATGAAATGATTAACGAAAAGTTTAAATGAATGAAGACGAGCGAGCGCATATGTGTATGGGATTTATTTATTAATAAATTACTTGAGTGCTGGAGGGGGGAGGTGGGGAGAGGTTTGTTTGACATTTGACAGCGGCTCTTGTATTGATGGCAATTTAAACACAAGATACCATCACATCAGGTGGAGTTTCTTTATAAATGACGACGACGTTGTTGACAATGCAAGGTGATTATTTTTTTGTTATTGTTGATAACAATGGGAAAGGCCAACTTTTGTTTAATCTACAATCTAAATCTTATAAACACCATGTATGACAACAATTTGCAAAAATGCCACTTTCTTGTGATACGTACTTGAAGGAAAAGAACTATATTTATATTTATTCGCTTATGACATCATTAATAAAATAAAAAGTACATCCTCATGCCTCAGGCTTTTTTAATGACGTCTTAAATGATAGTCGTTAGTATTTAATTTAGTATGTATTGTTAAATTTAAGGAGTTCAATTACCTGCCCTCTCACCAACCACTCAAAACAATAAAATCAAGTAGAAAAAATCTTTGCACTAGGCCATACACCATATGTACTTATACAACAATATGATAATCGTACGAAAAATGCCATGAATAACAAATAATAAAATTATTATTTTTATTCATATGACATTTGATGATATTCTAAATTATTTGGTTTACATGTGTCTGAATAATGTGGGTCATTAGAAAGAATTTACAAATACCCTTACTATCAATATGTAAATGTATTTACAAACAAGTAATACACCGACCTACCTTTAGACACACTTTAAATATAGGTTTGTTTCGCAACACCCCACCCATAAGTGATGTGGTGTTAAATAACGTCATTTAGTGTGGTGTATTATTTCCATGCAAATATTTAGACCACTCTGACAAAAATAAAAAATATGTCACATGATTTTTTGTTTCGTCGTTATTCATGTTCCAAGTGTCAAATGATTAATCAAACTTGTTTATAAAAATAAATTTTTTGAATTTGTCATTCATAAGTGACGTATGAAAACATCAATTTGTTATAGATATTATTAATCTATATATAAATATATATTCAGAAAAATTTTCGTTGCATCCTTCTTTGTTTCATATACTTGAGGTCAGCTGACTTGTTCATTGCCGTATTCATATTATCATCATTTGATTAATGGATGGAGGTTATGTCTGTCTTATGGTCCAAAGTCTAACAATAACATTTTTTGTTCAGAAGAAATTGGAAAATTTACTTTTCAGGTCCAAAGGTGCATTAGGGTCCATTTAACAGGTCACCCAAAAAGTATAGGTCGGCTCAAGATCTATTAATAGATCACCCAGCTAGCGAAAGTCAGCTGTTTTTTCTTAAGTCTAATGTCAAAAATGTTGCCATTGTTTACGTTTTCATAATGGAAGTCAATTCTCAGTAATGGCTTTTGAAAACAAACTTGAGAGATCCAGCTGGTCTCCCCGGACAACCTTATTTATAAGCTTTGGGTCGGCCATTCTGGAAATATCCCCGTATTGTCAACATTTTGGTCTACGTTTTCTTTCATATGATTATTTCAAAGTATAAATAATATTGACAACTAGTTGCATCACTATCAGCTGTTTCATAAATTTGCTGTCAAAATCCATTATTGTGAATAGACGACTTTCATTATGAAAACGTAAAAAAAGTCCAAATTTTTTACTTTAGACTTGAGAAACAGCAGCTGGCTTACGCTTGGTGACCTTCTTAATAGACCTTGAATAATTCCAAAGCTTGTTTAGGTTTTTATAATGGATGTCCATTCACAATAATGGATTTTGACAGCAAACTTGAGTAGCAACTGATATCCAGTTGGTCTCCCTGGTTTGTCTAATTAATAGGCCTTTGTAAGGACCATTAATAAGCCATCCGAAAAGAAGGTCAGATACTTCTCAAGTTTACTGTCAAAATGCTTTATTGTGAATGTTGATGGGCCTATTAATAATGACCAATAATGACACCCGGAAATATCAGCTTCAAATAAGATGCTTTTCATGTTTGCTTTCAAAATGGTTTCACATTAGTGAATTGTTTTACAATATGAATACGTAAAAAATATCAAAATTTTTGAATTTTAACTTGAGAAATAACAGCTGTTATTCGCTTTTATGGTGTCCTTATTAATAGGCCTTTAATATTCGTTGAATAATTCCAAGGCTTATCAACTATTTAATACTACCAAAGATCTATTATTAAGCTTATTCAAAGAGATTACATTGATATCAGCTGCATATCAAGTTTACTGTCAAAATGCATTATTGTGAATTGATTTCCATTATGAGAACGTAGATAAATGTTCGACATTAGACAGCTGATTTTCGCTTGTTGGTTCACATTATTAATAGATCTTGGTAAAAGAAGTCCAAAATTTTGATTTTTTAATTTAGGAAATAATTTTTCTCCTTCCTGGGTGACGTTATTTGACACTTTAATACCCCCCAACATTTCCAATGACAACTCACAATAACAGCATCTATTCCCTATCCCCTATTCAATTTTTAATAATCCGTTGGTTTTTTTCCCCCTTTACCTTTCTTTGTAGTCATTTTCCATTTGATGGAAGTCAAGTACGCATCTTGGTATACCGGGAATGTGATACCCGAGGAAGACGCCTACTGTTCGATTCAAATGCCCTAGAGAAAGTCTATCACAAGGAAAAGAATGGCAACAACAACAGCAGCAGTAGTTCGAACAAACACATTGGCTCGAAGTCAACATCGTCCATTGGAGTGGTCGGAGGAGGCGGTGGAGGAGGATCACATGCCACCAATCAGTTATCAAGTCTGAACAATAATCATCACAATAAGGAGTCGTCGTCATTACTCTCGGATAGATTAAGTGCTGCATCATCAGCAAATAATTCGAATAAGGGAGCTCATTCCAACGGTGGTTATATCGATGTGTGTGATGAATATGGCTATAAGGTAATTATATAAACTTGTTATGATTTTAAAATGTATAATTTTATTTATTATTTTTTTCTTCTTCTTCTCAACAGCACAATCGTCCCAATTCGACTGATATCAGCAGTATCGGTGAAATGGTGTTCGGTGCATTGGCCATGTCATTTCGTGGCCCCTCATTAAAAGTCCACTGGCTGCAACCACCCTCTCGGCTATTATGTTCCCAGGTATTTTTAACACCGCTCAGACCCAACAACAATGGACATTCGCCATATTCCACCTTTTCCACAAACAGTCTGGCAACCCCGCGTACCTCAATATGCAGTGAACATGGCTCCATTGATGGCCTATCGATGAGCTCGTTCTCCTTGCCCTATTCCATGGGAATGGGCCGTAACCAAAGTCTAACACCCAGTGATCTCAGCACATCTGTGTCATCTCCACTCGATGTACCCTCAATCGATCAACAATCGATTATGACAAATACGGATAGTAGCAATGCTGATCGTTTCTCAAGCACCTATAGTACGGGTACGGATTCGGGTTATTCGGCAATAAGTCGTGGTGCCGGTACTGCATCCTCTTCGGATCAGTGGTCTGCTGCTTCGTATCAATATTCAACTCGCAGTAGTTTGGGCTCTGTTATGTCGGAACAATCGTCGGATCGGGTACGAAAATGCAGTATTGATTCGAATATTTATCCTGGCAGTAGCTGTTCGGGCAGTACCAATGCCATGGGCATTTCCAGTGATGGCAGTCTGCAGCGAAGAATATCCCGCAACATTGTGACGTCTTTCGAAAACGAAAACTCCATGAATGACCTGATCGGGTTCGTAACGGATAATTATGCCAATATTATGATGAGCAATAGCAGTGCCCCCACAGCTGGTGGTAGTGAGGGCTTAAATTTGGGTGTTAACTATCCGAGGCCGAATTGTAGTTATACGACAAATGAATCTCGTAGCAATCCTGAAATGGGCCGTAGACGAGAAATGGCTCCGAACCAAATGAAGGCGGCCTCACGCAGAGCCAGACTGGGTCTGGCCGTGTGTATCACAATGAGTGAATCTTTTGAGGAGGAAATGGAATTGTTTTGCAGTGAACACATTGCCCTGTTCGAGAGCATGCTGAGTCGTTTGAGGGCCAGCACGGAGATAGCCTATATACACCATAATAATTTCCTTCAAATTATGTATCAAATTTGGCAGGACACCCAGCAGTGGTTTGTGGACTTGTTTACAGCACCACGTATCAAATGTCCTGTGTGGCTGAGTATAACCACCAGTGGCAGCAAATACTCGAAAAATGTGGCCGAACGTTTTATAAAGGAGCTGTGTTGGCTGCTATCATTTGCCGATACCAAAGATACCAATTTGTAAGTTTTTAAACAAAAAAAACCCGAATTTGTTTCGGCAAAGAATTCACTAATTCGCTTCTTTTCTCTTCCTCTTCCTCCTGCAGTTTTATAAGCACAATGTTGACGGCAATTCTGACACACCATCTGGGCTGGGTACCCACTGTGTCACCGTTTAGTTCGTCGTCTTCAACGGCAGCTGTGGAGCAGCGTGCCAAATTGTTACAGGTTTCTCAGAAGCATCCCTACAATGCCTTGTGGGCCCAAATGGGTGATTTATTTGGGGCCATAGGTCTGCCACCAAAATTGGCCCGAACTGTGATATATGGCACGGAAAAGCTGTCCGTGGAAAGACTTTTAAATGTACTGACCTATTTTATACGGTGCGGCGAGGTGCGACGCTCGGCCAAAAAGGAGGACTACAACAGGGACATGGTGAATAATATTGTGGCCCAAAATAAAAATGAAACATTTAAAAAATCCCCCCTCTATGGAGGTGCTGGTAAAAGGCTGGGCAATGAGGCTGCCAGAAATTCTGGTGTCTTGGGGAATAATTGTGGTATTGGCGCGGGTGGTATAAAAAGTGGCTTGACTAGATCTCAGACGTGCAAACAAAACCTTAGTTTACACGATATTGGTGGTGACGACGACACCTTCTGCGAAAGAGATGAAGAATATGATGAAGACGAAACGGACGCAGCCATACGCACCTATAAAAAGAATGAAATTCCAACTGTATTGGCATTTAGAGATTCCAGATTTGTGCAACAAGAGTTGCGTATTGGTAATTATCTGATGGACACCGGTATCGAACGAAACTCTGTGGCCCAGTACCAAAAGGCCAAACAAAGGGAGCTGGTCCAGAACAAAAACGAGGGCAGAATACGTCTGACCCTTACCACACCAGATAATGTGGAATTAATTGTTGAAGATCCCAGTAATTGCAATGCCGCCGAGGAGGAACAGGTGGAAGGTGTTTTGGAGGCCATTGAAATTGAAACGTTGCCCACAGAGAAATTGAAAGACAAACCTGCCACGACTAGTGGGAGAGCTGAACATCGTAAGAAACGACCATTCTTTTGGAGCATGGCAGCAGCAGAAGTCAAGGAAGGACTTAGTTTAAAGGAGCTTAATAAACTGCAACAGTGTGGGACAGAGGTGGCACCTTCCTCCATGACGACGACGAAGGACAAAGATGGAAAAGTTCGCAACCCTGCTACCCAACATTTGTCACTGTCCGCATTGATAACTCAGAATAGCATTGGCAAAAGTGATTGTCCCATGACCTGGGGTGTGGAACCGATCAAAGAAAATGTAAGCCACGAGGAGCAAATACACTTTGATATTTCTCACAAACATATCGAACGGGAGCATGGCATTGGTCGCAACAAGGAAGAAGGTGGTGGTAGTGGTGTGGTCTTTGTATTGGGTGATAATGAGCCATTGGTGAATATCAAACGAAGTACTGAAGATTTGTGTGGGGACACCATAGACTCAAAAGGAGTGACCACATCGTCATTATCATCAGCAAATGATCAACAAAAATCGGAACATATGTTGTGTCCACTACATCAACGTTTACACAATCCCCTGAGCGACGCCTCCAATACCACAAACACCACTGCAGCAACGCAACAATTGAAGAAGCATTCGGGAGTTAAATTTAATTTCGAACAATACCCGCAAATTGTAACCAACTATATGAAGAGTAAAAATCTTCTTATGACCAATTATGATTTGCTAATGGACAAGTGTTCCAAATTGGAGGCTGCCCAGAATAACAGTCCTGACAGCAGTAGTCAACGTCAGCAGCAACAGCTTCAGCAACAAATTATTGATGCCAACCTTACCACAACATTCCCTCCGCAGAGCAAACAAACAAATGCCACAACAACAACGTCGACCCCAAATTGTATTGTCTGTCAGGGTCTGTTGAATGCCTATCAGACGCCTTCGAATGCCACAGAGTTGGAGTTTGAATCGGATGAGCTGCATTGTTTTGTGAATAACAAAGCGAAACCGGCAAGTCCAACAACACCTGCCCTAACCACCGTTAGTTCACAGGCTTCGGTGCAGACGTTAATATCCAGCAATGATCAAGGAGGTGGTGGCGACCACCCACAACATGCCACAGATGTGGAGATGAGAGAATTACCCACACCCACCGCAGAGACTCCGAAGAAAACCTTCTTCAGCTCCAATCAAAAGAAGTGCTCTTCGCAGCGTGGCTCCATGTCTTCGGTGGCGGCGAAATGTGCTGCCGCCAATGAGGCGATGCATTTGCTGCAAATGCCTATACCGGCTGTCAAGGATATACCACAGGATGACGAGCTGAGCGGAGATATGAAATTGCCGGTGGGCTTTATACCATCACTCTTTTTGAATGTCAATGATCATTATGTGCCGGATATGGTGTTGCAGGTATGATGATTTGCAATTTAAATTAAGAGAAACTTGTCGCTAATATGAGGTTCGTTCTTTTCATGTTTTTTGCAGGGTACCTATGCTTCTCCCTCCAAATGGGAAATCAATTTACGAGAAGACTTGGCGCTGGCCGCCCATTCCGCTTCTCTGATATCACTGCCTGCCGAAAACATTGCCATTATTGCCGACATGGAGAAATGGGATGTCAAACTAATCTCCTCACAGTCACAACATTTTCCATATGCCGGTGGACAAAGTGCCCCCGTGGGCATGTCTCAGCTAGTTTCCTCAATGTTGGAGACAGTACAAATTATGAACAGTGCCGGCATATCGGCCTATGAGGTATGTCATCTCCCTGCTGCCTGTTTGTTGCCTTATAACGTGGCATAAATTAATTAACAAAAATCGTCTCGTCTTTTTAGTGCCTCTCATTTATGGAATCCAAACTCCAGGAAATCTATTTGCATTCGGAAACTTTAGCCGCCTTTCTGTTGGAAACTGATTTTTGTTCCTTGAGTGCTGTGACCACAGCCTTAAATCTATCTGAAAATGATGTACCCCTGCTGTTGTCCATTGCCTCCATACATACGCCGCAAATAAGTAAAAAATGTGGCATCAGTTTTAGATGACAAGATGATAATGCATCAAATTAGTATAACAGTAACAACAAAATGTAACACCAATGACAATGACATTGTATTAACTCATCAGCAAGCATATATATGTGTATAGCATCATAACTCATTCTCCTCATCCTAATTATTATGTATGTATATAAATATCTACATTTACCTTGTAATAATTATTTATTTTTCGTACAATATCATGCCAATTGTATAGATTATATCTTAAAGTGTCTCATACCAAAATCGCAAAACAATAACTAAAAAACAGAATTATGGTTTTAATGTGTAAATAAATAACATTAAAAATTAATTTCATATCACCGTGTCACCCATCACCTTCACACAAACACACACACACTCCTCTAACATTACATATTCGAAAGTATTTATTTATAATAGTTTAAATTATTTATATTTGTATTTAGAATATTAGTATTATTTGTAGGGTTTTTGAAAACAACAGCAAATGCAGGAATTTAAATTGAAATCAATTATTTGTAAGCAATATTTATGATTTTTTTGTAAAAGCAATAAATTGAAAAAAACAACAACACTTGATTATAAAAAATATATAAAATAAAGATTTTTTTATTTAATTTAATGTTCAATAACAAAGTGTACGTAAGTAGTAATAAAATTGAGTTTTAGTCGTTCCAGAGGTTTTGGTCGATCAGTTAAGTATTCGTTGAGTTATTTGCATTTGAAGTCTACCATGTTCCGAATGTATTTACTATTCAGGGCTGGGCTCTTATTATGTATGGAAATGGAAAGATTTTTTTACTTCATAAAATAACTACTGTGTATGTAAAGTTATGTTTAAATAAATTTTGTCTGTGCCTAAAAGTATGCTTTAATTTTCTTTACAAACCAACATTCTGTATGAAAGAAAAATTGCCGTTTTTAAATGATTTTTTGTGTGTTTATTTTTCGTTTTCAGGTAATAGGTGCCCAGCATCGAACAGTAAGTGTATTTCGGGACATTGCTGAAATCAAATGCAAACAACTCAGCGACTGCCCTGTAGGAAATGTATATAGAAAATCACTACTGACTTACTATTGATCGACTATACCCAACACAATGCATTTTACTATTGACATTTAACATGTGCTTGTCATTGCCAATAAACTGAAGTGACATGGTCAGTAGTTTATAGATATAGACACAGTGTTACATAGTAAGTAGACACGGTCAGTAGTAAGTCAATAGTTTGTAGATATATACAAAAGGTCTCATATGTCACTTTTAATTTTTTTGTTTTAATTTCTTTTGCTCAAATTTTTTTCACCAATTAATTAAATTAATTATCCAATTGCTTTTAGTAACTTAAAACCCCCGTTTTAACCAAAATTTCTGAAGAAGAAGCATAATCATGCTCAGTTGGCTGTTAACATTACAAATGCTTCTTCTTATTACATGATATGTAGACAAGTTTTTGAAAATATGGCGACATGTCGCCACAATCGTAGACAAAAGCGATACAACACCCCACATTTCCTACAGGGTAATTAACCGATTTTGAAAACTTATAAATCTCATAAGAAGCGCATAGATTATTCAATCTCATCGAAATTTGGCACATCTTAATCAGCCTTATTCTGGATATCCGCTCACAAATCTCTGTGAAACTTGGTTTTAAACCAAATAAAAGACAAAACAAAGCACAATTAATTACATACATTTTACTTTATGAAAATATATTTCAATATATATTTTTTATTTTTATTTTCGTTTCTGCAATTCAACGAAAAAAAGTTTTATTTACTTCCAGAGCAAAAGGAAAAAACAATTAAGGGATAATTCAAATATAAGTATATATAGCTTATTAACTATAGAATAAAGTCTAGACTACATACTAAATATTGAATACATTGGAAATATATTTCGTTAATTTGGTTTTTTTATTTCAAGATGTATATATACGATCTGTTAATTTCATTTAGCTAAGAATTTAATACAATTTTAATTAAAGTGGATACTTTGTTTTTTGTTATAGAAGAAAATTCAATTAAAAAAAAAATTTGGAAAAGTACTTATTAAAAAATTTAAAAATAGTGTTTTTGGAAAAGGGAATGGTGGTAATTCGTTTAATTACTAATTTGTATGTCTTATAAAAAACTGTGAATACTTTTATGCTTTCTTACTTAATGTGCGCACGAATGAATGTTTATAAATTATGATTTTCGTTCCTAAACAAAATGACAAATTTAGAATATAAAAATGTATAATACCACCAAGTGGAAAATTTTGCAGTGGACCTTAACAATGAGTATATTTGATGAAATATAATCAATATCATAATTGAGATTAATGATTTTTCTTAATTATGTCAAATCAACATAATTGAGGTTATGTTGAATATGCAAATTTAATTTGATTATTTATCAAGCTGTTTGGTAATGCCAAAAATAATTTGGAAATTGTATAAAAAATATCATTTTTACATAAAAATAATTTTTTTTTTTCGATTTTTTTTTAATTTATAATGCAATTATCAGTCGTTATGAATAAAAAAATAACAAGTCATATTTTATTTGGCTACCTCTTTTTGTCAGATACTGAAAATTATATTGGAAGAAGTAATCTGAATGTGAATTGACAAGTAAGTTAATAAGAACAGAAAGAAAGATCCATCTTGTCGGAAAGGTATTTTACTTCCTGAAACCCGACACATAAGTATAGAAACCACTTCGATTGAAATATGCTATGTTACGACCAGGACAAAGGCAAAATATGCGATACGAAATAGTGAATTACAACCACATCGTTTGAAACAATTTTTAAATCAGACAAATATAAAAACATTTTCGGAAATTGTTTAAGTCCTGAGCGGTTAGAAGGTTAAAAATGCTGTAAATTGGCGATACCGCTATTTGGGGGAAATACTTTAAACCCGAATATAGGAAGAATACCAAAGAGACAAAACATGGATCTATAATGAGTTCAACAGAACAACAAAATCAAATTTCTTTCAATAAGACCCATTTATAAATGGTCATCCCAGAAAAGCAGCCGTTGAAATTCTTTTTAAGGAAAAAATCAATTCGAATTGAAGCTCTTTGACATTCTTTCTGATTAGTCTGTCATATGGACCTTCAACAAACCTTGCAGCATCTGGATAAAACAAATGAATTGAGAAAACAATAGTTATCTTTCAAAATCATACAAGAAGTTTTAACTGCTTGGAATGTTTAAAAAGTGGTGAGCAAACTTCAAAATTATACACGGCAGTTAGAAATTATGATGAAAGCAAGAGAGATGGATGGGATGCACAGCTTAACGTATACAGTTTAATAATACTTATAAAATATTTTGATTATTTGCGCAATTTGTTTTGCTATATATTTACAATAATGGAATATAAAATTAAAAAAAAAAGAAATATGATGAGGTTATGGTGATAGCGAGAAGTTATGGAATTATTTTTTACGATATTTTTAGGGTTTTGCCACCATCATTTTGTCTATTATTATTGTTATTATTCGTTAGAGGAGTTTGTTTTTGTTGTTCATTTGGATTTTTAGTTAGCGGCAACTCCGACGATGGCAATTTCTTCATTCTACCATCATTAGTTGTTGTTGCCGGATTTTGTGGACGTTTATTTACCGTTTCATTCTCATCCTCATAGGGTTTCTGCCAAAATTCGGTTACTTTTGGCGAGGAAGGCATTGCTGTCGGTGTATTCGATGCCGTTATTGTTGTCGATGTTGCAGCATTACGTTGTTTGGTTGTTAACATTATTTTCGGTACAAACAGTACATTTCTCGATGAGATATTTAAATATGGCGTTTCTACCCACAATCGATGTGTTGTCAGCATTACGTTATCCTTAATCTCGATTAGCAAGTGCAGCAGTTTATCCATTATCTCTGAACACGAATCGAATTCATTCGGTATTATTCCGTCAACGGAACTTTCAAAATAGCTAAACATTGGAAACCAAATCCGAGTACGATTCGAATCACGTTGCATTAGAGCTTGATTATTGGCCAAAGTGTGATAGTAGAGAAATAGACGCGATGTTATATAGAAGGCCACGAATACATCTATGGAATAATGTTCATGGGCAGCCAAAATAAAGAAGATGCCAAACATATTTAGTAGCCAGCTAAGGGTGTGTAAGAAATATAAGTTGCGTGGTGTGTCTGTAGATTGAGAGAATGAGGGACAAGAAAAAATAAAACGAGAAATTGGTAAGTTTAAAAAAATTTAAAGTTTTGTCCTAAACTTAAATTAATTCGATATAACCTCAAACAAAATTATATATGTATGGATACGAAGAAGGATTTTGTAAAATATTGGGCATTTGGCGAATTAAAACGAGTTTAAAAAAATATTCTGGACATTAGCTAGGGAGAAATCTCGCTTGTGAAAAATTTTCGCTTTATTCTGAATGATTAGGGAGAAGCAAAAAATGTAGGATACGGATTCGAATTTTGGTAATTTGGTGGTTGAAAAAAAAATGTGTTGCCATATTGTAATTTATGTTGTAATAATGTAATTTAATTTGTAATATTCTATTTGTTAATTTTTTTAATTGTTACTTTTATTATTTAACTTTATAACAATATAGATGTGAACTATTAGGAATCCGCGCTGTAAAACTGCTTTGTAATTAAAAGAAAATATATAAAAGGTCGAAAATATGGCAACATACAACGGCATGTAAAACATCTTTGATGCAATTTGGTGCAACAACTACAACAGATTAGAAATAAAAAAAAATTTTTTTTGATGGCAAAAATCGAATTGAACGATGTAAAAAGATACAACGAATAATGGGAAAAATTAATTCGCAGTTTATTATTTCACTACATAATTATGGGCCTTTTTATTTAATTTTTAATGTTTTTTCTGGAGAGACTGATTCTCACACAAAATGTCTTTTTTCGCCTCCCAATTGCATCAAACTCGTCTTAAATATTCCTTATTGCCACGGAATGTAGCAATATTTGGTTGAGAATGCATCGTTTTCAAAAGGATTTCCAATGGCATTTTATTTGTTGTTTTTGAGCTTAAAATATGCATACAACCATGATTCAATTAGGGTAGCTTTTGTCAGAAAGGAGAAAATAAACATCTACCTTATGGGCAATAATGTCGGAATAAATGAAAACAAATGCAACAAGTCGTTCTGTTCATTTAACATATTTTTAACATTTTACCAAAAACGAGAAAAATTAATGGAATGTCAGGGTTTCTTTTCAAGAGCAACCAAATTTGCGGTGAATTGATGTCCATAATAAGTCTGATAAAATTATCCGATAAATATCAAATAATTCTTAAATTCATAGAAAAGTCATAACCTTAAATAACTTAAACTTAACCTCAAACATTGATTATGGTGAGATGGGAAAGCATTTTTGTACAACATTAAGAATGGCAAATCTAAAAAGATTTTATAAAGACGATCCTATCTATAGAATATCTTTAGATGTTTTTCTATCAACAGAACCCTATGAAATGACATTTTATCTATGTTTGGAAGATACATTTTATCCATAGAAGAGCTTTTATAAATATCCATTCCTACGCCTTCCCTTATACCAAAAAAATTCATATATATAATATTAAATATTCAACTTACATTCCGTTATAAAAAAATTGAGCAATGTCAGTGCCACCGTGTGTCCACTAAACATATAGTCACCACAGGTGCGAACACCTTGTATTGACATACCCAAACCGCTCCAAATAGTATAGGCTCTTGATATGCGCAATGAAAGGGCTTCCGATAATGTTAGCCTGTGTAAATGTAAAAAAGAAAAGAATACAAAAATTAACTTCCAGTATGAATAGAAAATGAAAAAAATTAACTTACGCTGTATCGTCAATAGCATAATCATTTTGATTACATTGCAAATGTGTACCGGGTACACTTAACGACGTTATCAACATTGTAACACATCGCAAAAGAAACACTGTCCCAGCCAGTGCAAAGAAACGCCTCAAGATAACCATACGACACTTGTGAAAAATGCATACACAGGCCCAAATGCTAAAGAGTAGAGTACCGGTTATTTCGCACATATGAAAAGCCCACGGTATATGCGGAACATTATCGAGAAAGATGTCCGGTAAGGGTGGATATTTTTTCATATCTGGCACCCGTTCGTGTACAATGACCATTACAAATGATGTTATCCATGTGACAAGGAATGAGTAACCTGAAAATGATTAAAAATATATATTTTAATAGACTTTAAAATTATATGTGTATGTATATATGTGTGGGTAAATACGTATTACAATAAATTAATAACTACATTATAATATATAAAATAGAGAAACAGAATTGTATTCTAAGATTGGTTACAGAGTAATGAACTTATTTAAATTAAAATACCTTCTATAGTGTCCAAAAATATATAAAATAAATAGAAAAACAAAGAAGCGTTGCGAATTGAATTGATTGGCTTTTTTTGTTGTTGACAAAATAAACAATTGATTATGTTAAAAACAAACAAACAAATTTTGTTGTCATCTTATCTATCTGCCTTTGCTTGGGGTAAATGTCTTAAGGTATTATCATTCAAATGCCGACGAAGTTTCGTCTAACAAAAGAAATATTTCAAGTGGTTGACCACCATAGAGCAGAAAAAGCATTAAAATTATACATAAATAATTGTAAATTACATTGACATTAGTTTAATGTACTACTAAAAATAACACATGTGTTTATATATTCTATAGAAAAAACAGATATTTTGATTTTGTTTTCTTTTTTTGGGGGACGATAAGTAAACAAACTACTGTTTGGTAATGAAGTTTATTTTTGGGACAACAATTTTGAATTTTGAAAATCGAAATTAAAAGCTAAAAACAAATCAACAAACAACAACAAAATGCATTTGTTGCTATTAATATCGAACAAACGTTTTCTTTCGCAATTGATTCTTCGACACGATACAATTACTTGTACACATGTATGATGTACCTATGAACGTGTGTATGTCTATATACATATATATATATATACTTTACAATTTGTACTATTATTGTTTGGTAAAATGCAAATGACCTCTATCAATAAGTTCAGTTATTATGAATAAATAAATAGGAAAAAACAACACAAAGAGTGTGGGACTGCATTTGAAATTTTGTTATTGATTGTGGTGTTGAGTTTCCATTTTAAAATGTGTACAAAAAATTAATACATATATTAAAATTCATTTTTATTTATTATGTATTCAATTTAGTTAATTTGTTCCAATTAGTTTTTTCGCTGTTCCTGGATCTTGAATTAATCAAAATAGTTTTAGATTTTCCATTTTTTTCAGGGTATTTGTCTTGGTAAAAACCTCCTGTTAGGCAATTTTCAATTTTATATATGAGTGTCCCGACCGATTTTCGGTATTTGGAATACACATATCATATTGTTCTTGAACTTATCTGGAGTTTCTGACATAAATGATCACAGTAAAAAACCCCTCCTAAAAATTTAACGCAGCCTAAAAAGTCAACACCTTGAGCTTCTTAAGACTTTTAATCTCATTGGCACGGTAATAAACTGTTAGTCATATCGGTGAATAAGATTCCGTTCAAGATGCATCAGTGAAGGATACAACGACGCAACCACTATTGAAAAAACAATCCAATATCTGTTCTCATCGACACCTTGAAGGGGTCATTCACCCTTATTCTGGACATAAATTCACAGTGAATTTGTTCGCTCCCTTCAATATTATTCTCAATCAGAACTTGCGGCGAATATTCAAAATTGTCATAGAATAACTATTAAGGAGATATTTTTTATAAAAATTTTAATTAATTGTATTTTTGTAGTCAGCTCCCTTAAAATTTATTAACGAAAAATTTCGCACAAAATGTCATCACATTTTACCACTCCCTGCAATCCAGAATAACTAATTTTTCCCCAAAGCGTATTTTTTGTTGATTCTGAATAAAGGGAAAGTGAAAATGCGAAAAAATGCGAATCAATGCGAGTTCTGGTTCAGAATAACTTGAAAGCGAAGAACGAACAAATTGGCGTTTAATTGATGTCCAGAATAAGGCTGATATTCTTTTGGTACCTTAGCATAGTTGCTACACCTGGTACGTTAACTTTCAGATTCCAACTAGAGGCTAATAGTTCATTCTCAATAACTTCTACAAAAACTGTTCCGTAATTTCGAACAAAGTTCAAAAATTTAATTTAATCAAAAATGGTTATCATCCACCGACAATGGCTTTCCCCCCAAAATACAACAAATGACTCATTTCTCATTTGGGTGTCTTCTCTTTGCGCTCATAAACACGTTGAAGTACAAATTTAAATGAAAACAAAAAATAAACAAATATTTCCGAAATGAATACTAACTAAAACTTACCTAAACTAATAGCCGTTTTGAAAAATTCAGGTGGAATGTTGGCCGAACAACCTTCCGACACTGATGACACCTCCGGTGCACAACTATCACAATCATTGAATGTATCGCATAAAGCAGCACTGCAGGGAATGTTACAATTAGTTCGACCATTACAACCATGATGATGATATAGGGAACTACATCCAATACTACCGCCACCAGCTAACATAAATGGAGGTGGTGGAGCTGGAGCATTCAATGTTGTAACTCCCGCATTCCTATGATTATGATGATGTTGTTGATGTGAAGGTGAACCATCCAGTCGAAGATTATTTCTTAAATTTCCCGACTTTGTTGCACCACTTAAGTGCTGATGGTGTTGATTATTGTGATGAATATGCGTCGTTGTCGCTGTTGCCGTGCCCGATGCTATGCCACCACCGCCATATGAGTAATTATTGTAATGACAAATTTGCTGTAGTTGATAAATTTTAAACCACATTTTCTTTAGTTCGCCAAAACGAAACTTGTAATTTAAACGATAACGAAAATCCCGGACATCTTCTTCACTCAAACTCAATAGGACAGGACCATCGATTTCTTCCAACACAATAAGATTGATTACATCTTGATTTAGTTTGTTATTTCTTGCCCAGTCGACGACATTGGGCACTTTCCATTGCATTACCGTATCACTATTTATTTCTTCCTCCTCCGCCTCGCCGCCCTCTTCGTTGCAATTTTTTTCTGTTTTCTCATCATCGTTATTTACGGAATTTTTGTTTTCATCTGCTTCAGTATCGGTACTGGCATTGCAATTTGTGTTTAAATTTCGTAGAAAATTGTTTTCTTCGAGATTATTCATAATTTCTTTTCCTGTTCTATAGTTGTTAGTAATTATTTAGGATTCTTTGTTTTTTTTTTCAAGAAAAAGGAAATTTCGAAATTTCTTTAAAAAAGCACTCTTAATGGGGTCACAAACGCAGCACTCTCACACATTTGCCATTTATTTACATGACCAATCTTGCTGTCAATTCATTTATTTCATTTAATTCTATAAGAATTTGTATTTATTTTATCTTCGTTGTTGTTATTATTACAAATCAAGAACCACGTATGTTCGATTTTCTCTTGTTTATAGGATTTACAGCCTCGAAAAACATCCCGTCGTTACGAACTGTATTAAATAATTATACGGACTAGTTCAAATGAACACTATTCCTTGAGAAGAACGATCGGAACCTCGATAGGGATAAGTAAGTCGACTTTCGACTAATCGATTAATCGTTTGATTATTGTGATGAATATGTATTGAGTACTTGAGGTATCGTACCAACCAAGATCTATTAATAAAGTCACCAAGATAGCAATCGAAATCGGAAAACAGCTGTTTTTTTCTCAAGTTTAATTTCAAAAATTTCGACTTTGTTTACCTTTTCACAATGGAAGTCAATTCACAATAATGCATTTTGACAGCAAACTTGAGAGGTATCGATAATCAGCTGGTCTCCCTTGGTGACCTTATTTATAGGCCATGATTGTGATGAATAAGTATTGAGTACTTGAGGTATCGTACCAACATACGTTTGACGGCGTAACAAAACATTGATACAAAAAAATGTATGCATTGAAAAGTCAAATTAATAGCACAGCTGTTGGTGCAAATAAATGTCAAAATGTCAATGTCAAAATGTCAATGTCATAAATGTCAAGTTAGTTCGTTTACTTTCCCAGTAACATTTACTCAGTTAGAATTTGCAGAGAGTAAAATACGAATTTTTCGTTCTTAAGAGAGAAAATTGCAAAAAGTAAACGAACCGAACAACATCTAGTATAAAGATTGTATCAAAACAGCTGATTAAAACAACAATCAAATTGGCGCAAACAAAAAAGCAAAATTTTTATTTGAAAAATGGATTAGGATAAGACATTTACCTCCAAAATGAAAAGAAAATTACCTACAAAATAATTTATAATAAATGTGGTTCGTGTGATCAGTTAGATCAGTCAAAATTAAATTAAAATTAATTTATATTTATATTTATATATAAATTAAAATTAATTTATCCTACCATTATATATTATATTTATATAATGGTAGGAGAAGACAGAATAGCCGATAACCGAATTGTTAACGAATGATGTGGGATGAAAACTATGTGAACTAGTTCTAATGAACACTATTACTTGAAAAAAACGATCGGAACTATTTTCATTCGACGAATAGATGGGAGACACATGAAAATTGTAGAATTTGTGTAATGCATAATGGCCAAATACTATCAGCTGATAATATTAGGGCAATATAAAGGTTCGTTTAGATTTACGAAATCCACTCGATCCCAAATGTCAATTCCATAGCGTATACTTCAAATATAATATACTGCACTTATGTGACGTATACGCAATGGAATTGACGTTTGAGATCGTGTGGATTTAGTAGTCTCAATGTAGCCTAAGATTACTTCATTTTGCAAACCTAAAATAATGCTATGTTTACATTGAACGTATTTCGTCATAAACTCTCATTGGCTTTTCATTTAAATTTACAATTCCGTTGTATACTTGTCAAATAAAGAAAGGGAATGACAATAATCGTTCCAATGCCCATAAATGTGCGAAACAAAAGTTAGAGATTCTAATTGTTTATTTCAACAAAATTATTTCGAATAACTTGTTTGCAACATATTCAAAATAATCAGCCTTATTCCAAACATCAATTCACCGTGAATTTTTTCGCTCTTCTCCATGGCATAATTACAGAAGGTAGTCTCATTTAAGAATTTTATGATGATAACTCTTTTTAATTTGGAATTCATATATCAATTTCAAATGAAATGAAAAATAAATTCCATAACATTTTATGTATGTCGACTGGCAACTTTTAAATCAATTAAACAAAATATATTTTCTAAAGCTGGACATTGCTCTCAATATTTAACCATATTGTTACAACTTATATTTATACGTATTAGAGGCAGGAAAATTCAAAATATTTAAAAATTGCATGTGTTAACCCCGAGTAATGAAAAAGAAATCTGATGGTAGGGTTCAAAAATGTGCATTTGCAATACAGCTGAGATAAATTTCAATCTTATTAAACTTTTTGTTTTATTGGTGTAGACTTTATGTCTCAATTCATAGCTTACATTTAGTTTCAATTATGGATTAAATTAAATAAATATATATATTACTTTGTTTATATATATATATGTATATGAGAAAGTCCAGTGTCAAAGTTCGTTACAAAAATGAACAAATTGTGTGTGGGTGTTTCGATTTGGGGGGTTTGTTTGTGTGCAGAAAAATTGGAAAATTTAATTTTTCCTCATGACTTAATGGATTTTAGTGAATTTTTTTTATTTTTGTTTTGGAAATTATGAAATACACATATTTATAGAGAATAAGAATAAATTTGTTTGTTTATGTTTTTTTTTATAAAACGAAAATCATTTAATGATTTTTTAGCTAAAAATAAAAGTAACAGAATAAATATATAGTAGTAGTTTATAGTATCATATATATATAAATGTATGTATGCGTATTAATTATTAATGTTTTGTTGTTGATTTTTGGATGATGATAATAATAATGTTAAAGTTAATTGTATTGTTTTCTCTTCTGTTTTTGTTTTGGGGGAAAAAAGCTCAAAGCGAACCATACACATTTTACACTCTCAGTATCCGTGTTCCAGAAGTTTTAAAGAGGTTCTATCTTTTTCTTCTTCTTTTTCTTTAATTATTATTAATAATGAGAAATTGTTAATGTTTTTGTTTGCTTATTTAGTATGAACGGCATCGAATAAATTCAATATTTTTGTGTGTGTGTGTGTCTGTGGTGCCGCAGAGTTGGGCGTCAATTTTGCAATTATCATAGATTCCATCATTGTTTTCACTTTTTATTTGAATACCCATGGTGTATTATTGGAACAAGAAGAAGATAGAGGTTTATATTAATAATAAAAAATAAAAGTAGAAGGACAGACAGTTAACTTACCAATTACATGCACAAAGAACATGCTTTTCGTATCGCAAGCCAAAAAATCGTGGGGTCACACCATTGCTGCTGCTGTTGTAGTTGTTTTGCAAAGGTTAGTAATTACTTAATTTAAGTGAAATAAAAAAATTCCATACAACATATTTATTTTGTTTAACTACTTAAGTTTCACTTCTGCTGTTCTTCTTGTTTTTTTTTCGTTTCTTTTGTATGTCTAATTCGAATTTAGTCTTTGCATGTTGAAGTGTCCATGGGACTGGCTGGTTGAGCAAAAGTGCCACCACTTGGATTTGTGGGTGTGAATGCCGAATTGCTGTTGCTATTCACACTTGAATTGGACGTATTGATGTTGAATGCTTGAGTGCTGTTGGAAGATCCACTTGATGTGTTGTTGGTATTGTTACTTAACAGGGATGCCGAGGTAAAGGACAAACGTTCATTGCTGTTAAGAAACCCTGATGGTGGGGGGCCTGCAGCAGCATTTGAGGAACATGATGAGAATAGACCACCAACAACAGATGGACCACCAACGCCAGTCGACCCCGACAACACATTTGGTGCTGAGGTATTGAGACCTAGCATTGGAGTTGGCAGTGCTGGTTTTATAAAACGTTCACTAGCACGACGATTCTAAGGATTCAAACAATATTAGATTGAGAGGTATTGGGAAACTTCAAGTACTACTTACCACAACTTGACCACATGCATAACAACGATTGTGCTGTGAATTTCCTGGACTCAATGGACGACTACTTGATGGGCTATGTGACACTGGACTACTGATAGTACGCTGACGATGAGCATTTAAGGCGGCACTTGTTAGTGGTGCCCCAGTTGCCAAGATATTCTCATTATAAAAACGTTCCTCATCCATTTCCAACGATGATTCCGATTCCGAAAGGTGACGACACAAGGCTTCACGCCTTTCCACCTCCTGCTTCAGTTTACGCTGCAAGCGCGCATTCTCTTCTCGAATCGATTTCTCTTCTTGGGCAAACTGTTGCAGTTTCTTAGCTGTCTCCTCTTCGGCAGCTGCCAAATTGGAACGTAGACGTATTACTTCCGACCGTAAGGTTTGTATGTGGGAGCTAAGATTGGATGCAGTATCTCCATTAGCATTCGTAATATCACGTGGTGTTGTTGGATCCGAAACCGGTTGATCCAATTTAATTTGCAGCAAGCGTTTTTCCGTTTCCAATTTATCCATACGTTTCCATAGCTTATTGACCAAGGCTTCCTGTTCTTGTTCCAATGTATTTTCCAATTCGACCATTTCTCGTCGCAACTGTTCCAAATTGGTCTGCTTATTATCTGTTTCAGCTTGTAGTTTTTCAATTTTTCTCATTAACTTATTGACCAGACATTCTTGTTCCTGTTCCAGGGTTTGTTCCAGTTTGCATTTTTCTTGGCGCAACTAAAAGAGGGGGTGAATCGAACAAAAGAAATTGTCATTCACTGACAAAATATTTATATACTAAATATATAAATTCTCACCTGATCTAATTTTCTGGATAAATCATTTGTCAAACATTCTTCTTCCCGTTCATAATGATGAGCTAAGGTCTCCTTTTCCTTTTTCAAGGCTTGGATTTTCTTTAACAATGTATTTGAAATATATTCCTCCTCCTGTTCAGCCTTGGCTTGCTGTATTCAAGAAAGAAAATTGATAAAGGCAAGACATTTGAGAAAGCAACCAAGAATGCTTTTAATGATTTCCGATGAGTTCTTAATACTCACAATTATCACGGATGCTTGTTTTAGAGTACGATTTTCTTCCTGTACAACCTTACATTTTATTTTCATTGTATCCAGTTCGGCTTTTAAAACCCTATAATTAAAAGTTGTTGTTAGTAATAACTGGGAAATGTTTTAAATAATATTTCGAGGGTGTTGTTGTACTTATTCTGTTGAGTTAAAGATTCAATACGCTTTTGTAATTGTTCCCTAGAGACGGGACTGGGTGGCAACATAGTACCACCATCCAATGAGCTCTCCGATTCACATGGACTTTCCATACTAGAAATATAAGATAGAAGCCGGCTGTTAAGACAAAGAAGTATCTTAATATATATTTTTTTTTAATTTTCTTCTTTCGAAATTCAAATTTTTAAGGCAATATTTTGAATTATAAAATAATTTAACAAAGGTAGCTGACAGTGATCATCTTATCCAGTATAGAACAATGTCAGAAATGTCTAGAACGATTTGAACTTTTATTTAGAAATAAATACCCTTATCCACCCTGTGTAAAAATGCAAGGCTGCCACAGGCCTCAGCAAAAAGAAAAAAACGTGCTGCCTTAATGAATAGAATTAGCTTTATATTAAATTAGTTTTATAAAATTACAATTAATTTTATAAATCTGAAATCACAAACGTGAATTAGGAATTACTAATCGAAAAAAGTCACAAAGTGGAACATGAAGCAATAATGCAACTTTGTAAATATAATTAAAATTTGTCATATTATATACCTTTTTAATTATTTATTTTGGATAGATAAATAGCAATCACATTAAAGTAATAAAGAACAATTTGCAAATAAAATTCTGTAAGCCTAAAAAATGTTTATACATGACTGAACCGACCGACGACGTCATCTTCCTCCAAGCACAGCATTTTTTCTGACACACAAATTACAGGATTAAATAAAAAACATTAAATATAAATTTGGTAAAAACATACCCCAAACTTCAAAGAGAAGTTATTATATAAATGAATCAAAACAAATTTATAAAAAAAAATATATAAATTCCATGAGCCTTTCCTTCGTATAATGTGAGGGTAGTGAATAATGGCGTTCGCCTTATAAGAAAATACCGACAACATTCCACTACCTGAGAACACAAATAATTTTTTCTGCTGGCAAAGCTACTTCTGAAAGTCTACAATAATTTTATTTCTGAAGACGTAATGCTTTCGAAAAAAAAAAACGTAAAAAAACCGAAATCCTTTTTTGCCATTTACTTACTTGCTTTTTCCTTTTTCAGTATTCGTGTGTGTAGTGTCTTCGCTTGCACCTATTTCTTCTATGCGATTTTTTTTGTTTAGCTGCTTTGCTGTTCGTTCGATGGCCTCCCTCGAATCAACTTTTTTGTTGAACTTGCCTTTCTTATTGAGTTTCTTTTGTCTGTTAATGATTCTCTATATAGCGTATAAATTTTTGGATGCAAGCAAACGTAAAAATACGATACTTCCACAATTTTCTTATATATTATTTAGCATGATTTTAAATTAAAATAAATTTCCAAGATTGCAAAGAAAAATTATTAATGACGAACCCTAGAATGTTGCCGGACTACAGCATTGTTGGTTACTGCTTGTTAGTTAGTAGTTAATTAATCGTAACGTAACGTAACTTGCACACGTGTTGTAGCATTTGTTGTAAAAACATGAAATAAAAAAGTAAACTTTTTATAAAGGAGAGTACATAAAATCATGTTGGACTATTGCCATGTACAGATGAGCGTTGTTCGCTCTCTCATTTGTTGTTCGACCCTTAATTATGAAGTAATTACTTAGTTCCCCATACAAGATTTTCTAAGCGAACACAGACTTTTGTACATTGTTCAATTCGAATCACCAAGAAAATTGTGCCATCCCTAACAATTGAGAGCATTTATCGAAAAAAAAAATAATTTTGACAGCTTGATTAAAATTTTCAAACTTTTTTAGTAAACTGGAAATTGATGAATGAAAAGTAAAAAATTCTCTAGTTTTTATATATTCAGCAGGATGTAAATTTTGTTATTTACATAATGCAATATGAATTTCTTTCCCCTTGGTTCTAATTAGCGTACAAAACAAGATACAAATTTGGGGTAACTCAAACAAAAAATTCTCCAAATTTGTATATGTGACAGTGAGTGACATTTGAATTGAGAAAATATAAAAATGAATGAAAACAACAAAATTTTAAGAAAAAAAGGAAAACATGAATTAAATGTAAATAGATATGGGTTCATACTATAGTCAGGAAAAAGAGAATTAATTTTTCTATTTAGATCCATATGTGATTCACGCAAATATGTTAGAATTTTGGTGTAAAACAAGAAACAAAAAGTTTGAAATAAAAAAAAACTCTGATGACATGAATTAAGAATAGTGTTGTGTGAACGGGTTAATTCATGTACGTAATTCTGAGAGCGAATTACGTTGTTCGAATGCCCGTCAGAATATGGTATATCAATTCTTTTATCGATTACCAAACTGTCATTCGAAAATGTTAGTGTGTACACCACTTAAGATAGTGTTAATCGATTACAGCAAAAAAACAGTTTTGGAACAATAATATATCCATGAAGGGCTAAGGAGAATGCTCGCGTAGACCCATCCGTCGCGTTATATGTTCATAACGTTTTCTTGCTGTTGTTGTATTTTCGATAACATATAAGTCGAGACAAAAACAAAGGTTGTTGTTGTGATACATCACCTTATTATTGCATCATGGATATATAAACAATATTTTGGAGGAAAAAAACACAAAGAGATTCATAAAATATTTTTAAACCAATTCATTTATAAAATTTATTTATTAAATTAAATATACTTTGTCCATATATAATAGTACGTTTACATTATACGGGATTTCGTTAACCCAGTCGGTTTCAATTGTCAACTCCATCGTGTATATGTCAAATAAATCCTCATGAAGTAGGTTAACCCGGTAAAATGTTCACAGTATAAAAACATTTTAATTTTAAGGTTGCTATGGCCTACCTTGAATAATTGTACTATGTGAGTTCCCATGAAGATATGCTTTAAATTTAGTAAATACTTAAATAATCATATAAGCACGCCTGAAATACGTATGTATCTTCATCTTTACACACTATGTCAGCTTTGCTCTCTTACGCGCACCTCCTATTGATAACTTTATGCGTTTTTTAAGGCACACAAAATGTTAAAACACATTTAACTCCGACGCGACGTGCAACACAACACACGAGGGTTGGTGTTATCATTTCCTTGTGATTGCTGTATTTACGATAACACATCAAACGACGGATGGCAGAACGGATTAATTATGTTTATGCCTTTAATGAACCAAACTAAAAATTAAAAATATCTCTAGTTCACGTGCTCTTCCAGTTGAATCAATTATTTGAACTAATTCGTACGTTAACAAAACAATACAATATTGGTGGATACGTCTAGGAGAGCGATACACATCTGTTATTTGTGTGTCCATATTAGATCTTATGAAAGTGGTAATCGACGCATTCCTGACCAGTCGTAACATTTGCAATTAAGACGACAACTACAACAGAATTTTTTCAATAAAAATGCTACCTCAAAATAATAACCCACGTACAATTTATATAAATCCAAATTTCAAGGGTACGGTCCAACAACAGCAGCTGCAGCAACCAAAATGTTTAACCCCTTCAATATTGGTGCCACCATTGTCGTCCACCAGTATCCGGCCTCCACAAATACCAGCAAGTGCTCATATAAATCCTCTTTTCTTGGAACGTGCACAAAGACCTACAATACACATGAATCCAAAATTTCTATTAAAGCTACAGGATCAACAGTCAACAATTGCTGCTGACAAATCTGTTACACCGGCCATTCTTCCTGCTTACATTGGTGCATGCACAAACACTCTCAACAGGACGACTACTATATCGAATACGGGGAACACGGAATTTGACAACACACATGGCTGTGCCGTAATTCCTGATAAGCCAACTGGTGCAGCAGTTACTCCCGTTCAAGCAGTAACTAACAATTCTACGCTAATCAAACCAACAGCCCCTGAAGTTCGCAAAATCATTTGTAAATCTAAAAATCGTCTAATACGTGAACCCTTGTCCTCAGCTCATAAATCCCTGCAAATGAAACCAATTCAGACAGTGCCATCCCAACCCCCAATTGTACATGTTACCAGACGTAAATTGATAAGAAAATCGGCAATACCTGATACTACCAGAACCAGAACCAAACAGACTTTAAAATTAGCTACAATACCGGTGGCATCTGCGATTAAGACCAAGTATAAATTGGATCATAGGATTGTTAAGAAGAAGATGCCAGCAGTAGCAGCTCCTGCATCTGTGTTTAAAATAAAACGCAAATCGTTTGTGGGAAGATTTGCTTTGAGAAGAACTTCTACAAGTTCAGCTCAGACCACAAGCATCTGTAAGAAGTTTGGTCCACCAGTAACAAAGAATTCGAATGTTCAGAGCATGAATAAAAAACTTCAACTGCTAAATATAAATGGTTTATTGTATAAATCGACACGTAACTCCTTGAAGCTCAAAGACTTGACCAGTAACACTTCAAATGTGGAAAATAAATGCAAAAAACCCACAGCTGCTTCCAATAGTAAATTACCCCAAGGTCTTACAATTTTTGTACGTGGCACCAAATACATTATGGATCCGCAAAAATACAAACTAACTCGAGTGACTGCGGCTGGTAAAGAAGTTGATGATAGCACCGGTAGCCCCAATCGCAAGGGTCCAACTCAATGCCGTCGTATTGATATCGGTGGATTTACATATATTTCGACAACTTCGAAAAATAATGTATTAATACGAACGCGCAATCATTTGGCTCGGGCCTACGTCAACAATGCCAAACAGAAGAGTTTGCAAATATTAAGTAAATCCTTGGTCAAATCGAATGTTCCATGTCCGATATATCAGCGTGTTGGGAAATGTGCAGCATTTGAGCGGGGTAAATGTCTTAAGGTCCATAATAAACAACAGGTGGCAATTTGTGCCAAGTAAGTATATCGAAATCAAATCTGGGAATAGTTTAACGAGTTGAGTTCATCGTTAAAAATATATTTCAATTTTAGATTTCTACGTGGTGAATGTCTGAATTCCAAATGTCTGTTGTCCCACGAGGTGTCATTGTCCAAAATGCCTGTGTGCAAATTTTACATGCAGGGCGTATGTGTGCGCAATGATTGTCCCTATTTGCACAAAAAGCTAAGTGATAATGCCGAAGTGTGTATTGATTTCCTACGAGGATATTGTCAGTTGGCCGACAAGGTATGTTTAATGAAATACAGTGGCACTATTCTCTTCTGGGTTTTATTAACAACATCCGATTACGCTTACATGTTTTTTTCTTCATTTTTTCTCCTCAACTACTATCTCAAGTGCAATAAGCGACATGAATTTGTTTGCCCCGAACATGAACGTAATGGTGTGTGCAAAATAAAAAATTGTGTTTATTGTAAAAGTGCACAGAAACGTGAGAAACATTTACAAAAAACATCGGAGCTATCTGCCAAGAAACAACAACATGATAATAATGCTGAAGAATCGGAAAATTTCTCTGTAAAAGTCACCAAGGATCAGCAGCATGATACATCTTCCGCGGTACGTTATTTCACAGGAGGTACAGTTGATAACAGTACCAACAATCCGGAAATGAAAGAAAATGATGGGAATAAATCACATGACTCAGTCAATGAATCCGACTCTAGAACAGAAGATGCAATAAGGAAACGACCAAAATTGGGTAATTTGCCAGCATTTATACCATTATGATTTCGAGAATCAACAGGACGCGTAAGGATATCCAAGAAATCAAACCATGTGCAGGTACATTTACTCATATTTGTTGTACTACTATATATATTTTTAGGTACTTTTTAGGAGAATTGTAAATTATACACACACAATGACGTTTTTAATAAGTTATACTATTTTTAGAAATAAATCGATTGATTCTATTTTTTAGAAAATAAGAAAGCAAAAAATAATGCTATAAAAATATACTATATACAATAAAAATACACTCTAATTTTATTTATAGTCAAAGGGAATATGTTAGTGGGATATGTTGGTAAACTGAATTGGATTAAACAGATATATGTCCAGATCAACATTCAACACTGCTAAAACGGCATTTACGATAGAATTTTTTTCCGGGTTAATTTTCTCAATGAGGATTTATTTGACATGTATACAATGGAATTGACAATTGAAACCCACTGGGTTAACGAAATCCGGTATAATGGAAACGTTCTATAAGACCTCAATTACCCGTGACGTTGTCCCCGATTACTCTGTTCACAACATACATGGCTTAACAAGCCAACTGTTGCAGCAGTTATTGCCACTCTTATCAGAGGAAGCTCATGAAACACGCCGTGACAATGGTGTGGTACAATATGGCAACACACATTACAACTTAAATTACAATATGGCAACACGAATCTTCTTTTCAAACATCATTTTCGAAAATTCGAATCCTCATTTTTCGATTCTTCCTATTCATTCAGAATAAGACAAGAACGTGAAAGCGAAAAAATTTCCCCAGCGAGATATCTACCTAGCGAATATTCAGAATAAGGCTTATTATTTCCACGGCAACCAAGGGTTGAATTTTTTTAATGTAAATTAACGTTTGCCAATTCCTTAATTATTTATATAAGGGTGATTAATATTTTTTTAATTTTCGTAGCCCTTCCCAAAATTCGTAAAATATGACAACAAAATAGAGAGCTAAACTATGATTTGTTCTATAAAAATGGCAAGGCATTGCAATAAAAATCTTTACATCCAATCATTTACTATATATAAAAGAAAAGTCCATTTTGTTTTTTTTTTCATTAAATTAATTTATTTAGATCTTATATATATGTGTATATATATTGTTATTATCAAATAAAACAAATAATTTAGATTATTTTCTTTTCAAAATTAGGCATATTTGCATATATCTTTGTGTGTGTGAGTATAAGTACTTGTGTTTTATTAAAAAAACAAACATTTCGTCTATGGGTTCAAATGCATACAAAAAAAAATAATAATAATAAAATAAAAAACGATAAAAGCAATAGAATGCTACTAGATATCTAAAATACTACATAAAATTGTTCTATTTAATTAAAAAAAGAAGAAAACTACTGCAATTAATTTAACGTGTAAATGTTTTTGCATTTTAATATAAATGAAAAAAAATCGAAATTAAGCTAGGAGTATTCAATATATTCGAGGACGACTATTAGTGAGTGTATAGGTTTGCATTGCATTTGTTTTTATGGAAAATAATCATTTGATTTGATTATGAATTTCTCTCTTTCTCGATAACCAATGTTATAAATTTTCTAATTTTGTTATAATTAATGTATAATGATAGTTTTATTTATATATTTTAATATGTAAATATATTTTTGAGTATTTTTACACATGTTTTTGTTGTTGTTGTGTTTGGACACCAATGTGAACATGATTTTTTTTGTTAGTAATAATGTAATGTTAATGGGTGGGTGGGTAGTGTTGTTGGTAATATGATGATAGTCTCAATTTGATTGCTAATTTCAAAATAATAATGAAAAAAACATGAAATATTATTAATAAATATTGGAGGAATGTTGATTGCTGTTTTAATATATTATTTAAATAAATATGTGCAATACTAAAAATTATAATAGGAAGAAAGAAAATTAACATATAAATGCATACACAAAAATAGGAAAAAAATAAATATATGTAGGTGCCAGCCTGGGAATTTTTGTTTTGTTCATAAGGGAGGAGAGAACAATAATACAAATTGTCTTTCCCAAAAAGTATGGTATAATATCATTTGTCATTAATATGTCATAATTTACTTGATTATTCTATAATATTGGCCAGTAAATTTTCCATTGATCATTCATTGTCTCGTCACAATTTGAATTTCCTTTTCAACAATTTATTTTATGTTTGAGTGTATTCTTCAAGGGCATACAGATACAAAAAATGGAATGGAACGAACAAAAACTAAACATATATGTATGTATATTTTGTTATTATGACGTTGAGATTTGGTGAGGCATTAATTTCAGCTTTTAAATATACAACTTGATATTTTGTTAGCACACATGATCTTGTTTACATTTGCACATATATGTGTGTGTATGTAATACAACATTCAAATATAGAGATCAATGGTTAATTTTTTTATGTACATACATATAGATGTACATTATTTTCCTATATATAAATCAGTAGTAGGAAAAATAGTGAGTGGGGAAGATAAAAATTACACAGTCGATAAATAATCTTAAATTATGAACAAAAAAATATATATGTATATATCACACAATAAAGATAATAGAAATAAATGTAAAAAAAAATAATTATAGAATATAATATAATGTAACTGTTGTTGTTGCTGAGTATTCTTCTACAATTTATTTGTATATTGTTGTTTCGGGGTTTTTCTGGTTGCTGTGATGATAATACATCTGTCATCTTCAATGTTTCTTTGAATCATATTGCTTAACTTTTTCCGGTATGGCTGCCTTTTCTAATGCCGTTACATATTGTGAGAGTTCATCCAAAGATTTCACATAGACTAATTTGCGCCAAAATTTAGTACTAATAAAATTTCATGAAAATATTATTTTGCATATAAATTTAAATCGAAAAAAGAGGTTTTTATTTACCTAACAAATGGTCTCGTCATCCATATAATGGATTTTATCCAAAAAGTTGGATGTACTAAGTACATGTTTTTTAAACTTTTCCTCAAACGGCGATCCAGCAATTGGTAACATCTAGAAAAAATAATTAAAAAATCAAAAAGCGAAGACTTTAATATTTGCAAGAATTCCACATTAAAATGGGAAAAACAACCAACTAAAAATATCATGAAGTGTGAATTTTAAATCCAAACTTCATGAAAAATAATAATTTAAAAAAATAATCTTTAAAAAACCACCATTTGTTAGACACTAAAAGCGTTAATTTTTCTTAAAAAAATTAACACCTTGGTAGCCTTGACAAACACTATTTAAAAAAATGCACGACTTGGTTGCCTATGAAAATATTTTTTAAAAAATGTTCTCGCCTTGGATGCTTTTGAGAAATATTCTTTAAAAAATCACCCGTTTGTAAAAAATTATTTAAAAAGCCCAAGTCTAGGCAGCCTTTAAAAAATTTTCCTTAAAAAAATTCACGCCTTGGTTATCGATTGAACGTCTTAAAAATAATGTTTATGAAAAATAGTCTTTAAAGAAAGTAACTTTAACTTTTCATTACTTTTTCGAATCACATTTCAATCGATATAAACGTGATAATTTTTTTTTTTTAATAATCACTTCTTTACTTACTTTTTCAACCATGGAAATGGTGGCATATTTCGACGACTCGAACCACCGTGCAAATAAATTAATACATAATCATCGGTAACCAATTGTTCCAATGTCTTGACAACATACAGAAATAGATTATCCATAACGTAACTGTAATCGGTACGCGAACGATCGGGCAAATGACAGGCACAAAATATGACAATTGCATTATGACCGCCAGCTTTTAGATAGCCACCATGTGATAGCACCCTTTTGTATGGTTCAATAACACGCATATCAATATCACGGGTCCGGCCATCGGGTAAGGTGATTTTTTGCCAATTTCTCGAATCGCGTCTCTCTTCGGCAGCCGAATATTGTGGTAATTGATTAGCTAATTCAGCACCATCTCGTTGCAATGGTGTGGGAGTTAGAATACCTCCACCGCCGCCGCCATTATGTGTCATATGTAAATCTTCAATATCATCATCGTCGTCGGGTAATAATTCAGGTCCCTCACAATCATCATCGTCGTCATCATCATCGTCCAAACCATCAATTATAGAACTTGAGGGACTTAATGAGGCTAAATTGTGATGATCTTCATCACCATCAAAACTATGATTGGATATGGAATCTAACGAGGAAATATCTTCAGCTTTGCGGGCATTTTTTAAATGTTTATTTTGTGCTCCCATCACACCCGCAGCAACACCTCCATCCTGTTGCCCATTTTTCGGTATTAATGTAACAATTTGATTATTGGCATCAACGGTTGCTTGATACTGTGATACATTCACTTCGGATCCGCTGCTTATCAAGTCCGGACTACTGGCCCTAAAGCCAGCATCATTGGGTTTCAATGTTTGTCCATTCACCGCAGCAAAGCCATTACCAGTTTTGGATTTTGCCATTAGTTCCGCCGCCGCATTCACATTCTTCGTATTCATCATTAGACTAATTTGCTTTCCAACTTCAATGTGCTCCTGAGGTATACGTATATGTAGATGTTCCAAACTCGGCACCACATCCGGATAATTTTTCTTATTCTCACAATTCTTTTCGTTTGTCAAGCGCACATCACGTTCATGTTCCGCCGAGGCCACCACATTGAAATCCACATCGGAATCTGTGGGCGACAACATCAATGGATGATTATCGGCCAGGGTGCGTGTCGATGATTTATTGAGGTGACGTTGTGGTGTCACAGAGACTGGCGGATGGTCATTCAGCAGGATGGGCCTTGTAATACGATTATCTAATGATGTTTTATTAAATTCTTTTTCGTTGTCATTGGCATAGTTGCCTGTCACATCATGATTATTGCAGTCGCCCTCCTTCTCTAGGCGTATAATGACGGAGTTGTCATTCAGCGAATTGGCTCCGGAATCCAATGATGTTGTCTCTGATGAAATATCCATTTCCATTTTACTACCATCAGATTGCGGAGGACTATCGAAGTGTATGCTTTTTTATTGTGCGGGGACACAAAGAGACAACAAAGCAGAAGAAAAAGAAAGGAAATAAAATCACTCAAAATGAAGAGGACTTTTGTATTTTCTTTTATTACCTCATTATTTATAGGGATTAGTATTTGCTATATAATTTAGTTTCGTTGTTATTGTGTTGTTTTTATTATTATAAATATTTTTTTTAACATTTTCAAGTTAGTAAATCATCATCACCACTCATTTACTCACAAAACATGAAATTTTTTCATAGTGCTTCTTCTTATTAGTGTTGCCAGTTTAGGGGATTATCCCCAAATTGATGATTGATTTTTGTAGGGAAATGGGGATTATATTTTTGGTTTGGAGATTTGGTGATTTTTAAGGGATTACAATTTTCAATTTATTTTATAAACGAGAACCTAGCCCAAAGGGCCATGAGTGATTCCAAAAACTTCATTACATAAACTACTCCATAAGCTTAAAATTAACATTATATCACTTAATCATATCATAAACAACAGTACTTGAACTACTTCAAAGGCCTAAAATTGATATGATTTTGAGAATGATTTTTTATTATTTTTTTTGTAGTTCGTTTCAATTTTTATATGAGTACTAATAAAAACGTAAGTTTAAATTAAAAATTACTATAAAACAGCTGAATTCAATTGGTGTACTCTTGTGCAGAAAGAATCAACTAAATTTTACTATACTTTCGATATCATACTAAAACTTTTAAAATTTATTCATCACGACAACAGATCTACTTTATGATATCGTAAAATCGCACCATATATAGAGGAAATCCAAATCAATTTCGATCATTTAAACATTCCTGCTGTTTCTGAAACAGAGCTAAATGAAATATACAGATTAAATACGATTAAAAATTATTTCTGGGGTTAACATATCATCATTTGGGGATTTGAGTTAGAAAAAACTGGCAACGCTGATTCTTATCCATTCATGTGTAGGGCATTCAAATTAGAAATTTGTCTTGTTGTATTTCCTCAATTAGTGGATGTAGTAGACGTAACGTATACACATTAAAGTGTAATATGAAACAATCTTCCTAATCTATTTACATTTGATTTCTGTGCATGATTAGTTATGCGGGGGACTGTAAAGTCTGTTTATATTAACGAAATACTCTCGATGTTAAATACATATAAAATCCACTGGATTTAACAATATACTAAACTTGCTAATGCATGTTTTGTGATAAATAATAATTTAAATGTTTTTTCAATTGTCATTTTTGTACATATGTCAAATAATATCCTGATATATAACCTTATATTGATAAATTGAAAAAAAGCCTTAAAGCGAATTTACATATAACATTTTATCATAATTAAAGGCTGAATCAGGGTTTATTTTCTTAATCAGGCTGAATTTACCATGATTTACCACACAAATTTTAATCATCGTGCAGCAGGATTTATTTTAAATCATGATCGAAATCATGGTACTACTGAGATGCAACGCGGGTTTTGTACGAAAAAATACAACTCTCTCACAATGTACAAAATTTGCAACTGTTTTTACATGCCGTTTGTTTTTAAATTTAACGGCTGACAAATACAAAAAGATCAAAGGAAAATAAAAATTAATTATAGAATTTTTGTGTTTTTAGGTGTTTTTTTACTTTCCAAACGATCACAGTATTGCAAAAACATTTCCATTGTGGTAATTCTTCTATTCTTTTTCAAATTGCAAACAAATATTTTTGGCGCAAATTAATAATTTTGTATGTATACTAACAAACATCAGCTGATCGGCATTTAGATCATGATTAAGGGTATGTGTAAACAATTAGGGTGTATTTCTGGATTTCGTTAATCGAGTCGATTTAAAATGGTACATGTAAATGTACTTTTATATCGCTCATGCTATCCACTGTAAAATGTTATCACGGGCCCACGGCAACCCATGTTCCTACACTTGCGTGCAACCCTGACTCGCCTGATGGACACTGTCCGTGTGTGTCAACAGTTTTCATTCAGTCTCCATTCCACCACATTCGTAAATATTTCCTTATGCCATGTACAGACGAGCGTTGTTCGCTCTCTCATTCGTTGTTCGACCCTTAATTATGAAGTAATTACTTAGTTCCCCATACAAAATTGTCTGAGCGAACACCGACTTTTGTACGTTGTTCAATTCGAATCACTCTCTGAACCACCAAGAAATTTGTCCCATCCCTAACAACTGAGAGCATTTATCGAAAATAAATTAATTTTGACAGCTTGAAAATATTTATAAAATGTTCAAGCTTTTTTGGTAATATTGAAAATGATGAATGAAAAGTAAAAAATTGTCTAGTTTTTATATATGCAGCAGGATGTAAATTTTGTTATCTATGTAATGTAAATTTCTTTCCCCATAGTTCTAATTAGCGTACAAAACAAGAATCAAATTTGGGGACACTCAAACAAAAAATTCTCAAAATTTTTATATGTGACATTTGAATTTAGAAAATATAAAAATGTATGAAAACAATAATATTTTCAGAAAAAATGGAAAACATGAATTAAAAGTAAATAGATATGGGTTCATACTATAGTCAGGAGAAAGAGAATTAATTTTTCTATTTAGATCCATACGTTATTCATGTAAATATGTTAGAATTTTGGCGTAAAACAAGAAACAAAAAGTTTGAAATGAAAAACTCTGATGACATGAATTAGGAATATTGTTGTATGAACGGGTTAATTGATGTACGTAATTCTGAGAGCGAACTACGTTGTTCGAATGCCCGTCAGAACATGGCATTATATCACTTTGAATTCTTCTTTATCGATCAGTTTGTCTTCCCTCCCATTAGTTAGCGAATGGAACGTTTTTCACAACACCGATGCTAGTTCACAAAGCTCGGTTGCAGTGAATATTGAGTATTGAACATATTCTCGTCATACAGGAAAAAATACACAAGCTAGTAGGCCCAGTAGGCTTTTCCATTTTGATTTTCAAAACAAACAACAAATAAATGGCGTCATTAGCAACAAATGACAATCCTAATGATTTGCCAACTTCAGCCACTACAACTCCTTTGCAGAATTTACCAATTGAATTACAGAACGACCAAAAACGACGAAGGTAAGTCGAACAAAGAATTCTGTGCCCATGAGGTCTCCCTAATTGGTGTTCGTTCATTCTAGTTCATCGCGCTCTATCAAACGTAAGCGATTTGATGACGAAATAGTGGAGTACAGTGTAAGTTTACAGTCCCGCAGCGAACAATCACGTAGCACCAGACCACGAACCACTTCTCAAACATATGTGCAACCTGTGCCACCAGCACCTCCAGTACCAATCTTACAGCCACCAACAACAGTCGAATTGGAAAAACCGACGGCAAGTTCCGTGCCCATAACTACAGCAGTAGCGGCGGCAACTCCTTTACCATCTGCGGTTGCGAGTGGTACTAACTCGGTTGTAGTAGGCCCTACCGGTCATAATTTAAGTACGGAAAGTAAACCGACAAGCGGTTTCATGGCTGCCGAAAGACGACGAGCTGGTGGTAGGTCCCAGCAGAAGAAGTCACGAAAATCGGGACGACCACCTTCTCATATGTTAATGAAAGATTTGGGCCGTTGGAAGCCAGTCGATGATTTGGCATTAATTATAGGCATGCTACAAACAAACGACTCCCGAATAGTTCATCGGGGTACAAAATTTTCTTGTAAATTCACACTGACGGAGGTGCAAAATAGATGGTCTGCATTGTTGTACGAGCCGGCATTGTCCCGTATCGCCGTGGCAGCAATGCGTAACTTACATCCAGAAATAATTGAATCCGTGCAGAGAAAGGCTTTGTTCAGCACAGCTGAAGAAGAGCTATTGGCCACCATCAAATCGGTAAGTAAAATAACAATGGCAATGGTTTGGGCCTTGTACAAATGCAAATTTATTCATTTTATCTTTGCAGACTGACAATCCTAAATTGGAACAGTTCCAAGAGCTATTGGATAAAAATGCCTCAGTCTTCTACAGTGCCCGCACAGCCAAGTCTCTACAAAATCATTGGCAAATGATGAAACAATATCAATTGCTTTCCGATCAAGTTGTCAACATCAGTGATCAACCCCTGACATTTTCTGATGCTGAGGATCTTATTAAGGACGCGGAATTGAATGAGCAAAGAGACGAGGCATTGGAGATTGAGTTGGCATTGGCCGATCGACAAAATAAACGTGAAATTCGTTTGTTGGAAAATGAACTAAGTCGTTGGAATGTCTTGGTAGATTCGATGACTGGTGTGGGTATTGCCCCGGAATTTGATGGTCAAACATTGGCAGTTATGCGAGGCCGTTTGGTACGGTATTTAATGCGTTCCAAAGAGATAACTTTTGGTCGCGATGCCAAGGATTGTGTTGTCGATGTTGATTTGTCACTGGAAGGGCCAGCCACAAAAATCTCCCGCAAACAAGGAACCATCAAATTGCGTAGTAATGGTGATTTCTTTATTGCCAACGAGGGCAAACGACCGATATTTATCGATGGTGTACCATTGTTGAGTGGTAATAAAACACGTTTGGCCAACAACTGTGTTGTAGAGGTGAGTAGAGGATTTCTATTTTCAAAGGGATTATTTTTGTTAATAATACATCTTTCGTTTTGTTTAGATGGCTGGTTTAAGATTCGTTTTCTTGGTTAATTATGAACTGATTAATGCAATTCGCCATGAAAGCGCTAAAACTACTTCACCATTAAATTAAATATGTAGTTTTGAAGAAGAAACAAATAGTATATTAAGAATATGTGTATGAATGAGGTAAAAAATATTTTCAATAAATGCATTAAGGTTTTAAGGATTGAAATTTGGATGCTATTTAAAATATTGCGACAAAGAATACGGAATGTCCGGATCTTTTCGTGGTCCCTGTCGCACATATACGACAAATCGGTATTATGAAAGTGGTAAAAATGTGTTAAAATTGCATTTTAACAATATTTACTGATTAACTGTTACATTCGACTTTATTTTATGGAATTTCTCATGATTCATAAGAATTACACTAACAAAATGACATAGATTTTCCAATACAATATAAAAAAAGGGTTTTAAAAGTATAATTTTTACTTTGGTTTTGTAACAGAGTAAAAGAAAAATATATTACAAAATTTCGCGTTGTCGTAAATTTTACATAATACCCACCAAAAACATTCGACTACGTCCACGACAGCTGTCGTACAACGACTAGCTGTTTCTCAAATTTAATTTTAAATATGGGCGCGTTCGAATTAAACTGGATAAAAAAGTTAAATTTTTGGATAACAATGTCCCCTTAACTAATGTCTTGCCGAACTTGGGCATGGGAAAACCCAATCACGACGATTTTCAAAAAAAAAAAATCCCCCGTTCGTTATAGATGTAGTCCATGAGTTTTAAATGTTTGAGGTAGATAATTAAATTGTTTGTTACATAGAAACCCTAATGACATTAAAACACTTTTGATCTTCTAGACCTAAACGCGCTTTAAGGGTTTTTTGTGGAAAAAACGACTTCCATACAAACCTGACCTTACTAACATTCATTTAAAATGCTCTGTTTTATGTTAATCATACTCCTCATTCCTCTCCAAAAAATCTCCAAGTATTTACTATTTTTACTTTTTATTATTTATAAATCTACGAAGTTACTTCATGTACTTTATAAACTTGTCTATTGTGAACCGCCCTTATTTTATGCTAACAATGACGTGTTGCCATATGACACATATATGCCTCACTCGATATATACAATTGCTGTGGATTGCGAAATTCATATGTTGAAAGGCTATCATCATGTGATGAATTGCGCCAAAAAAGCAAGAAGCATTTCAGAGATTTTTTTATGCGGTGGAAACATATAGGTTATTTCTTTTGTAAAAAAAATGACAATTCCCCCCATCGAAAATGTATAAAGTGAAGCAATAAATATTCTTTAACGCGCACCTTAATCCATCGGACTTAATATATTAAGCGGAACTAACGCTTTGGGAAAGTCGTGCCGTGTGTGTCTGTTTTGCGATAAGCAAAGTCGTCTCTGCCGCAATTTGATTGATTGTGAAAAAGAGGAAGAAGAAAGAAATTTGAGATGAGTGCAAAAAATAACCAAAATACTAAAGAATGAATGTGTGAAATGTGAGAGATGGAAGAAAATTTAATGTTGTTGTTAGAGTAGCGTACAAATTATTTGAAGAATAAACAATTCACTTCGGTGGTGTGCAAGTGTTGTTTATCGTTGAGAAGTTACACTTATTTTATTAAGGAATGTCTTTCGTCGTTGGCGCTGCCGCCGTTTTCGTCTACTTTACAACGTTTCTAATTTATGCTTAAAAATATATTCATCATACATTCGCATTTCAATACCGCCGTCTGCGCCTGCTGCCATCAACCAACCAGTTCATTATCAAAATTTTCATCAGGTAAGCAAATTGTAGCAGAAGCTGTTTCCTTTTTTCATCTCTTCCACTACTCTAACCAAGTGTGTGTGTTGTGTGTAAACATTCAGAAACAAAATTGTGTGTTTCAACGCAGCATATGTATGTAGATTTATAAATAAATAATCACAAAAAGAAAAAAAAATATATTGTTGTGTCCATATTTGTAAATGACATCCATCCATTCAAACACACACGTTTTTGTATGTTTCTCTGCTTTTTTGGAGCTTGGAGACATATAATAGCGAGAGGTGACAGAGTGCTTATAACATAAAATAGGGATATTTTTTTGGTGTGATTTTTAGTATTTAATTTTTTTTATGAAATTATTGATACTTGTTTAAAGAATTGATATTCCAAAAAATCTTCTAAGTAAATGTGTTGCGAAATTTCTGATTATTTTGATATTGCCAACGTAGTGTTGGTAAGCGCAATTTGTTTTAGCGATATCTAAGGCATCATGGGCACACATCAAATTTGCTTTTTAAATCCACTTTTTTGTGGATTTTTATTTTTATCATTTGACGTAAGAAATCGGGTTGTGGAATATATTGCAAAAAATTAATTATTATGTAATTATGTACAGGACTATTCGTCAGTAGCGAATGTAATTGTAATGGCGCCCAACATCATTGATGGTCTGTCATTGGGATTAGACTCGTCTTCTGGAAGCATAGCTGATTGCAATCGGACGTGTCCAAAGGTTGTGTATGGTGGCGTTTTTCAAACACTTTCCCCTCGATTATATTAATTCCTCGACAGTAGCTGGTCTGGATGACTTTGACACCGGTCTGACTTTAAATCCTAGAGGCGTTGACTCAACAGCCAACATATTAACATTACAGGGTGAGGTGTATGGACCTTCGGCATGAGTTAGGAATGTCGGCTAAAAATCGCCGCCGACAGCTTTCAGAATAGTAGTAAATTTTAGTTGCTTTTTCGATGCCATTTAGATAGATAGACTTATATATGAGAGGCAGCGGCCGCCGAAAAAATCGTTCCACTTCGATGTCTGGTGGCGGATGGAAGGGGGTCTCCATGATGTGCAGAGTGAAACTGACCTAGGTCAACTTTTCTCTGCACATCGTGGAAACCTTGGGGATCTACGGATCCCCCGTGGACCAAAATGGATCGGGGTAGTGCCCTTAAATGAATTAACTACGATGGGAAAAAAAGAGTAAAAGGAATAAGATTACCGTGCAGGGAGTTAATAACCCAGTATCGGCGGCAATCGTTGGTGAGGTCACAAGCCATGTGTCGTCGAGATCAAGCGACTGTGATCCGGCTGTTCTAGATGTGGATGCCTTGGCACCTGCAGCTGTATCTGTTACAAGCGTATCAATTTCGAACCCGAACAACGTTGACGAACCGGCAATTCTATTGGCAAAAACGAGCAAGTCAGGACTGATGAAAATCAGTCTCTGACTGACAGGACTGTAGTTATGGAAGCAGACAACCTATACGAGACCCTTAACGCTATCCGCGATAGTTTAGAGGAACAAAGTAGGGAAATCTTCTACCAGTTAGACAGACTTGTACCGGAAGAGCTTCCGGAGAAACTGCTACTAAATCTCACCCTGACTGATGATGAGCTGGACACCCCGATGATGCCGGCTAAGTCATTGGGGATTGGGGGATTGTTGTAGCCATAACGAAGGAAGAGTAGACCCTGTTGACCGATAGACTTCAAGTTTGACTCCAACAGGTCTGACTCTGACAATAAATTCAGAGGCAATCTGCGACGGAGGCGATGTCCGACGATGGGGAATCTGTCGAGACCCCAGCAACGGACAGCGGCTCAAATGTTGGAAAGGCCCGAGAATATCTGATGCAAAGCACAACAATCGTGCTGTTTCGTATCTTCGCAAATTTGTGGGACGAGACGCGAATTTGATTTCGGTGAGGAGGGAGGTTCACATCATCAAGGGCAACAAGAGATTCGTGAGGAAGTTCGAAAGAATCTATCCGCACGCTCTCCATCGTAAGCTCGAGATGGTTAGAATCTACCTCCCGAATCAAACTGCTCGATTAAATATCCAAGGAGACCTCCAAATTGAGTGAAGTAGTGGAATCGGCGAAGCCCACTGTCTCTGACAAGGGTGCTAAGCCGACTTCTGATTCGAAGCCTAGGCTTCGAGGTAGGCTTCAACTTTCGGTCTCATACGCACTAATTGCCGCTGTTAACGAAGGAAAGTGGGAAGATAACCAATGAGAAGATGGAATAATTACTGGAAACTTCAAAGCCAATGTCGAAATATTCCCTACCGACGACTAGACAGATTGTTTCCGATGATCAGTGAGTAGCGTTAATTGACAAGACTGATTCCGATGGACGTATTAGCGATAGACATTTGATGCTGCTCTACCGCTATCTTAAGACCAGCTTCGACCGAGGAGAATTGTCGAAGCTTACAGTTCGGTTTGGTGGATTACCCTGTAAACCGGGAAAAAGGTAGTACCTCAACTCTTCAACAATTGGTAAGATCCCGTATTGGATGGTAATCTTTGTGTGTTTTCCATATTCTCTAATGGAATTGAATTGGATGCAGATGATGGTCGATGAGTAGAATGCTGGTGTTCGGATTTTTTAAGTACTAAATTTTAAGGATTGAATTTTTTACTATTATTTTATTACCCGTACATTTTAGAACTTGTGTTTTTCTTTTGGACATCTTTCAACATTCTTTTGTCAAAAAAAAAAAATATCTGACAATGTTAAAAGACCTGGTTAACGTATGACCATAATTGTAAGTACATATTGGCCAAAATAGGCAGTCAGACAGCCAGCCATCAAGACAAGAAACAAACTAACTGGTTCCGTTCTCTTTCTCTGCTACTCTTTCTTGTCTCCTCTCTCATTCCATAGTAATTTGAATTGAAATAAAAGTAAGACTAAAATCAACGAAACCAAAAGTTGCGTATGATGGCAAAAAAAATAAATAAAATAAAAAAACAATTGCTAACTACTTGTATTGTCATATTTATAGCTACAGTTTTTATTTTATGGTCGCTACCAAGCTTTGCTTTTTTTCTTTTTTCGTGGGAGTGTGAGGGGGAATTACGTACGATAATTCATCAAGTTAAACGCAAAGTACTTATTTTTTGTTTTTGTTTTTGCATTTTCGTGTTTTTTGTTGAGGTAAATTGTATAGAATGGTTGTGGGCTATTGACTTTACCTATACAATTTATATTACGGAATACGTTTTTGGAAATTTAATTATTATTTTTATACCCTTCACCACACTGTGGTACAGGGTATTATGTCTTTGTGCATATGTTTGTAACAGGCAAAA